GACAAGCCATACTCAACTATCTGCACAGTTAGGTGCAGTCCTTTAAAGGACCCTGCTACTTGAAAACTGCCGTTGTCCTTGTTCCCTTGCTTTCTTTTTCTCCAAACCTCTAATACCCTGTGATGTGTGTTTCCGACATGCTAGCATCTTTGATTCCCCTGACTACAACTGTGATAGGAGGGTTGTTTTCATTTTTCCCCACTGTTATATTTTCAACCTCCAAAAAAGTGGTTAGCACATAGTAAGCACTCAATGAGCTGAATAAATTGAGGAGGCTAGGATACTCCTCACCTTAAGACCACCTGTGACCACCCTGTGGCTGTCACAAGAGGCTGCAGTTCTACATACATCCAAGCATTCAGGCATGTGCTAACAAAAATAAATTTTACACCGTGCTCTCCACTTAAACCCCGAATAAGCAAATTAATCTATTTTTGTCTTTCTTATTCACCTCTTAATTTCTGCTTCAACCTTCTCCTTCATGGTCATTACCAACAGTGCAAAACTCTCAAGACACTCACTGAGCTGTGCATTTAAGAATGCTGTCGAATACTGTAAGGTGCTCTGCACACGATCAGGAGAAAGGTAGTCATCAATATCTCCTAGCTATATACAGATATATATATATATATCACAACAGTGATCTACCTGCCTGCAGGATCTACTGGGGCAACAGTGGCATGAATGTGATGGCATAATCACCACTCTCTGGTTGGATTTAGGCCAACTCCATGAAATGGAGCCCACACCTCACACTGCTACAGCGACCAAGATCCTGAGACCAGACAGGTCATGAGCCTCGAGGAAAACCGAATACTCTCTCATTCTGCTAAAGGAACAGAGCCATACAATGACTCCTAATGATACTCTACCCAGAGATCAATGCCTCGCTCAGCCCTCATCAGAGAAGCTGCTTCTTGCAGTAGACAGGAGCTAACACAAAAACTCACAACTGGACAGTGTGCAGAGAATAGGAGACCTTGGGAACTCAGTCCTAAACAGGATGTCTTCAAAGCCTCCATTCCCCACCCCTTCAAGGCTCAAGGATCTAAGAGGTGAAGAAGGCAGAAAGATTGTAAGAGCCAAAGGTTATGGATGACTCCAAGAAAACAGTGTCTTCTAGGCAAACAGGACTGATGCACATATGAAATCCCAGAGACTGTGGCAGCATGCACAGGGTCCCACACAGGTTCAAACCAGACAAGTCCCAGTAATAAGAGGAAGTAGACAAGGGTTCCCTCCCCTAACCAAAAAGCTATCAGCAAGTGATTCCACTGGCAATGGAAAAATCAGTTTTTTCTAATGGAGTCTCACTGAGTATATTAACCACACCTCAGGGAAGACCCTATGCCCAACAGTAGTTGGCCAACACAAAACAAACTCAATTCTTTGTTTTTTTGGTTTTGTTTTGTTTCGTTTGTTTGTTTTGTTTTGTTTTTTTTGTAAACTTTTTGTCTCATTCTGCTTTGTTTGGGTATTTTACGTCTTGTTGATCTTTTGCTTTTTTGTTCCGTGTATGAAGGGGGTTGTTTTGTGTTTGTTTTAAAGAATGAGAAAACATAAATTTGGGTGGGTACGGAGGATTTGTGGGAAGGGAAAAATGTGATCAAAAAAGAATGCAGTCTAAATGCCAGGCATGGTGGCATGAGCCTGTGATTCGAACACTCGGGAGAGAGGCAGGAGGCTCAAAGCCAGTTTCACATACACAGTGAGTTCAAGGCCATCTTGGGCTACATGAGACTTTGTCTCAAAACAAAACAAATTGCCTATCAAAAAATAATATTGTAAAATTAGTTATATTATTTAAAGCAACCTATATATCCAGCATTAACTCTCCATTAAAATTCCAATGGCATTCTTCAAAGAACTAGTGGAAAAATTCCTAAACTTCATATAAATGCACAAAAATAAGCAAGTAGACTAATAGAAAGAGGACCTAGAAATAAACCCAATATCTATAGCCAACTCATCTTTAGCAAAGTTGTCAAAAGCCAACGTTGAGAACAGTCTCTTTAAAAATGGTTTTGGAGACCTGGATATACACATGTAGAAGAATGAAATTATATCCATAACTTACCCTGCACAAAATTCAATTCAAAACGGATCGAAGACCTGCAACTTTGAAAGTGCTGGAGGCAAATCCTGCACTGAGATGCAGACAGGCTTCCTGAAAATGACCCACTAGCAGGAAAAATGCTAACGAGGTAACGTGGAACTTAAAAAACTGTACAGCAGCTGGGTGATGGTGGCGCCTGCCTTTAGTCCCAGCACTGAGTTCAAGGTCAGCCTGGTCTACAAAGTGAGTTCCAGGACAGCAAGGCTGTTAACACAGAGAAACCTTGTCTCAAAAAACAAAACAAAACAACAACAACAAAAAAAAAAAAAAATTACAAAAAAAAAAAAACTGTATAGCAAGGAAACAATCACCAATTGTTTCACCACTGTGAAAAGACAGTCTAGAGGTGGGGAGTGGAGGAATCTGCCAGAAAGGAGATTCACATAAAGAACTATAAACATAAAACATCATAAAAATAAATCACCCAATGAGTGAACCAAATAGACAGATCTCAAAAGAAATACAAATGGCTAATAAATACTTTCAAAAGTATTCAACATCCTTAGCCATCAGGTTAATGCAAATTAAAACTCCTTTGTGATTGCCATCTTGCCCTAGTCAGAACGACCGTCCTAGAGAAAGTAAAGAACAACCTGTTGGTAAGGCTATGGGGAACGAATGTGGAACACTTACTCTGCTGATGGCAATGTAACGCAGAGCAGCCATGTAGAACAGAGTGTGCAGGATCAACAATGAAAACCTACAACCTACTATATAATCTAGCTGTTACACTCCTGAAGATATCCCCAAAGGACTGCAAGACAACACATGACAGATAACTGTACATTCATGCTTATTGTTGTACTGTTCACAATAGCAAAGAAATGGAACCAGCCTAGATGTAGGCCAACAGATTAATAGAGAAAACATGGTACATATAGACCATTTTTATTCAACCACAAAAGAAAAAGAAGACAGACAGACAGAAAGACAGATACAAAGAGCAAACCATGACATTTACAGGAAAGGAGAAATAAACCAGACTAGCAAATATTTTTCTCACATGTGTGCATCATTGAGCTCAGGCCCTCTGCAATAGCGGTGTGCACTCTTAACTACTGAGCCGTGTCTCCCACCCAATCAAAATTATATATTTTAAATAATGTATAAAAGACTTGTGCGACTCAAAAATAAAATACACAACTGAATTAAAAATAGGCAGAGGTGGCTGAAGCGATAGCCATCATTGAGAGGTTACCTAGAATGTGCAAATTTTATTACCAGCTGATGGGGAGATAGGAAGAACAAAGATTTGAGTAATTTTCCCCCAAAAAAGATAGATAATTGGCCAGTAAAGAAATGAAAAGATATTCAACATTTTTCATTAGAAAACTGCAAACTGAAATGAAATGGCACCACTTCCCAGCTAATAGGATAGCTGTGGTTAAAGAGGCAGCAACAATACTGTCAAAGACATGGGCGCTAGAACCTTCCTCCCAGGTTCACGACAATTCACAATCACGCTTGACTTTGGAAAATATGCAATTTCTAAAATATCAGGCATTGAATTACTATGGTGTCCAGCAACTCTACTCCAAGGTATACTTTCCAGGGGATGAAAGCAGGGGATTCCATATTTTATACACAGATATTCCTAACAGTATTACTCACAATACCAAAATCAACCTAATGTCTGTTAACCGATGGGTTAAAAAAAATGTGGAACATATTAATGGAATATAATTTGTCAATCAAAAGAAATCTACGTGCTGATAATACACTACAGCATGAATGACTCTGCCATGAAAGAAACCAGTCATGAAGACCATATTTTATGATTCCATGTCATGGATTCAACTATGTCCTACCTCAAAATTCATGGAGGGCCAGCGAGATGACTCAGCAGGTACAAATGTTCTGTCAAAGCTGACAACCCAGGTCTAACCCGAATCCTACATGGTGAAAGGAGTGAACTGACTTCCAAGTTACCCTCTGAGCTCTGCACATGTGCCACAGTACAGGCACACACACATGCACATCAATACATGTAAAACCGAAAAGTCACATGTTGAAGCCTGAACCCCTCAATGTGACAGTATTTGGACACTGGCTTTTAGAAAGGCAATTATGACTACTATAATCCATTATATATCTTCATAATAAGGAAGATACCAGACAAGAGGCCACATGAGGAGAAGCAATATAGCTATGTCAGAACCAGCAGACTCACTGGAAACCAACCCTGCTGTCAGGGCCTCCAGGCCCAGAACTGGGAGGAAGTGCAGTTCTGTGTACCTTATTAAGCAGCCTGCACTGACGAAGTCATTCCCTTAATAGGCAATATTCAGAAAAGGCAAGTTTGGAGACAAAAAGCAGATTAGTGGCTGCCCAAGGCTGGGTTAGCAATGATAGTGTCGTGATAAATGACTGCTACTGAGTGGAGACTTTCTTTGAGGAGAGTGATAAAAATAATCTAAAATTAGATGATAGTGACAGTTATACACAGCTGTTAAGTGGTGGATTATAGAACACCACCTCAAAAATCTACAAAAGGCATTTCAAGCCAGATATCTATGATCCTAATACTCAAGAGGCTAAGGCAGGAGGAGCAAAGTTCAAATCCTGCATGTGCTACTGTGAGGTCCGGGCTAGCCTGGGCTACATAATGAGTGTGACCCTGTCTCAACAACAAAAATTCAGTAACTTGAAAAAAATAGTAACATGCTAGAAAATATACTTCTTAAAAGCTGCACCGTGCCAGTGAGATACCCAGCAGGTAAAGGCACTTGCCACCAGGCCTGACAACCTGAGTTCAATCCCTGAAACCCACATGGTAGAAGGAAATGACCAACTCCCAGAAGTTACCCTCTGGCCTCTACATGTGCTGTGAGGCGTGAGGACACACAGGCACAAAATAAAGTTAAAAACGAGCTGCCGAGCTTACCAGATACTGGATCATTCTGGGAAGGAACGTGAAGCCCGGGAGCCACCTCCTCACAGAAACTGCGAAGGACTTCAACTGAAGTTCTTCTTCAGAAGTACTCTCAAACACCGGAAAGAAAGTGGCACAAGCCGCTAAAAACGCCACCGTTGTCACAACTGCGGGCAATAGGAGCTCATCCTTCAATAGAAGAGGCAGCATGCTGTAAGGGAAAATGGGGGATCAAAGGCAGCAAGTTCAACTGTAATGTGAGTCTGTAAGAATCGTGCTGGAGACGTTATATGGAAATTGGTTTGACTCACCTAAATGTCGACACTAGTAAAAACCAAGTCGACATGAAAGGAATTTCATTTAAAACTAAGCAAACTGGTCTAAAATGACAAGAAAAACAATTTTAATATTACAGAATGTAATTTTTTTTCAGAATATAATTTTTATCTCTAGCCTGTAAACAACTAAATATACTCTACATGTCTGATTTCCAAGGTTAGTTTAAAAGAAAAAAAAGTTCTCCATGTGACTACTCAGAAAGTGTCACCTTCTCAAAACCAGACAACAGCCACTTGACTAGGTCACTATCAAACACTCCTCTGTGGCCACGGAACAGTCCCTTAAGGAAAGGACCAGAGAAAGAAGCCTCTGCATTTCAGTCATTTTGCAAATACAAAGTGAATCCCAAGGCCATTGTTTTCAAACTTCTTCTATGTTACAGGTCACAAACTAAAGTCATGAAAAACAGGATTGCCACATCAATGAAGAAAGGACAACAGGTGAATTACAGAAGGGACAGGTTAAAACTAGTAAACTAAAGACAAAGATGAAAACTAAACAGTTGGAGGCCACATGGAAAGGACAAGGACACAGGGCCTGAACAGGGCGCTGCTAAGTGGAGCCTCCTCTTCTTATCTTGTGTTTAGGTGCTCTCCCACAGTCTTTGACTGATGTTGTCTGGGTGTAACTGCATCCACGCTCATGGAGAAGCAAGCCAGTTAAAGCCCTGAGTCCTAGTCCCATGGCTGCCACTCACTGTGTGACCTGGGCCAAGGATTAATGTCTCTGCAAGGATCACTTGTACTTGTTTTTAGCAATACAAAATAAGCTTTTCTAAGAGTGACCACTGTTGACTTACTGTTGCCATTACTACTAATCTCTCTCCCGTTATGTTTAAAAAGGTTCCAAAGGCTTGACATTCTCCTCCTAGGGTAGTTTGCATGAGAAATGTCCTCCATAGGCTCAGATATTTGAATACTTGGTCCCTATTTGGTTGTGCTGCTTGGGTAGACTTAGGAGATGTAGCCTTGCTGGAGAAAGTATGTCACTGGAGGTGGGCTTTGAAGCTTAAATGTGCCATTCAAGTTTGAGCTCTCTGCTTCGCGCTAACGGTTAAGATGTGAGCTCTCATCTTGCTGCTCCAGCCACCTGCCTTCTTCCCATCATGATGGTGACAGACTCGAGCCCTCTGGAACCATAAACCCAAATAAACCCTTCCCTCTATAAGTTGCCTTGGTCATGGTGTTTTATCACAGCGACAGAAAAAGAACTAATCTACTCCCTTTCTTAAAGGAATGTTTTTCTGCATGGCAACCAGCATATAAGGTTTAAGCTTGGCATTGAAAACCACTGTTTCCTATTAAGGGATCACACTAGAGGACTTTCCAGTGCTTCAATATGCTATACCAGAAGGGGTTTATCAGCACAAACATAGTAAGTATTCAATAAGTAAGGTTTTCTGAGTTCCCCTTCCCATGTACTCTTTCAACTACCAAACCAAATGAAACTGTATTACACATAGGCACTGCTCTGAAAATAATAACGATGAAACACTACTTGGCCTTAACTGCAAGGTGGATCAAGTAGCAAGCCCTCTATGTCCTCAGGACCTCACTCTCCCCTTCATCTGCAGAAACCATGCCTGGCTTGCCATTCCCTCAGAAAAAAGCCGAAGTTTCTAGAAGCCCTTCCAAGGTCTTACCTGACCTGGACTACTGTGCGGGTAGTTTGAATTGGGGAGCCCTAACCAGGTACAGGCTTCAGGGGCGGACATGTCCTCCCATCTGCAATGACCCTGTGCAGCAGCTTGTATGCCAAGATGCTTCCACAGAGGCAGCCCAGAGCTTTCAGCCCAGAGCTCCACCTAAGAAAAGCGCGAGCATTTCCCTCATCTCCCTGGCCATTTTGTACCGGTGTCTTCTACAAGCCCACTGAGAGCACCGGGTGGGGCGTAAGGCAGCAGACAGTTGGGACTGACCCGGGGAGGAGTCAAGTATTGCACATTATTCTAAGCCTATACTACTTTAGAATTAGGATAACACGGCCCAATTGTCACCCAGTTCTTTCTATGAAGAGCGGAAAATTTTAATGCTCTTAAAAAAAAGTAATCTGTTGAAGGATTGCCAAGAGGGTCTGAAACCTTCGTCTACAGGCTGTGATTGTGTGTGTGTGTGTGGGGGGGGGAGCAAAAAACAAAACACAAGAGAAACAACATATGGAGGACCTCATGGAGATGAATGGTAGAGAATAAGGCTATCCATTAGATGTGGAAATGAATAAATTACAAAAGACAAAGAGAAGAAACAGGAAAGCCACTTGGAGAAATGTGTTTAATTAGTAGAGAAAAATCTGAAGACCAGGAAGACATAAGAATACGTCAATAACAATTTTATCAACTGTGTTGGTTTAAAATATATTTTATAAAGTAAAATAAAGCATTTTCTGAGAATGACTAAAATAATTATATGCAAAAATATTGTGTTGCTTTATTTTGTATTTAAATTAACACTTTTATAAACTTAGTTATACATAATACTATATAATAAAATTATAATGGATGTACACTTCAAAGCTGTCTACTTACAATGACACCAAGAGAATGGACTTCTCATGTACTTGGAAAGAAAACAGAAAGAATGATAGGGCACAGCTAACCTTAAAGAAGAAGAAGAGGGTAAAACATGATTTAACAACTTGAAAACTGTGTCAATGGAACTATAAATGTAAATAGAAACATTCCAAGTTTAAATAGTGTAGTTACTAGTCAAAAGGGAAAATTAAACCCAGAGTGTGCATAATACTTAACCAATTTTAAGCATGTAGAACTTAAAAACTAATAGTAATTATTGGGCTGGTGAGAAGGTGCAGTAGGAATAAGGTGCTGACGACCCAAGTTCAGTCCCCAGGACCCACCTGGTGGAAGGAGAGCACTGGCTCCCACACACTGTTCTTGACCTGTGGTGACACATGTAAAGCCTCTCACACCAAAAAATAATTAAATAAAGGTTTTTTTTAAAAAGCAACTATTAAAAGGCTACATAGAAGTATCCAAAATGGTTCTGAAACTCGGCTACTAATAAACAAAACTACCAGCCAGGCTTGGTGGCACACGTCTTTAATCCTAGCACTTAGGAGGCAGAGGCAGGTGGATCTCTGTGAATCCAAAGCTAGCCTGGTCTACAGAGAAAGTTCCAGGACAGCCTGGGCTACATAGCACTACTCTGTCTCAAAAAACCAATAAAAGTAATAATAAATAATAAAAGATAATGATGGGGAAATCTACAGAGACAATTGAACCAAGCTCATATTAACTCACAAACTTTAAACTGCCAGGCTCCAGGGGTTAATGGGGGTTTGACTGTTATATTATCGCCTGTACATGGTAGTTTTGTTTATTATTATTATTATTATTATTATTATTATTATTATTATTATTAAAGAATTTTTTTTTACTCATTTTACATACCAACTGCAGATCCCACCTCATCCCTCCTTCCTGGAACCTGCATGGGACCAGACTAGGCCCTCTGCATATGGGAAACAGTTATGTAGCTTGGTATGTTTGAGGGGCCCCTGGCAGTGGGATCAAGATCTAACCCTGGTGCATGAGCTGGCTTTTTGGAGCCCATTACCTATGGTGGGACACCTTGCTCAGCCTTGATGCAGCGGGGAGGAGCTTGGTCCTGCCTCAACTGAATACACCAGGCTTTGCTGACTCCCCATAGGAGCCCTTACCCTTTTGGAGGAAGGGATGAGGGTGAGGGGGGAGTTGAGGGGGAGAGTGGAAGGAGGGATGAGGTGGGATCTGCAGTTGGTATGTAAAATGAATAAAAAATTTTCTTAAATAATAATAATAATAATAATAATAATAATAATAAAAAACAAAACTACCACGTACAGGCAATAATATAACAGTCAAACCCCCATTGCCCCCTGGGGCCTGGCAAACTACTTAAAACATATAGGGCCAGCAAGATGGATCAGTAGGTAGAGGCCCTTGCTGCCCAAGGGCAGGAGTACCATCTCCAGAACCCACCTAGAGGAAAAAGAGAACCAACTTCCATAAGCTGTCCTCTGCTTCACACAGGCATGCCATGGCACGTGCACACAAGTGCACACAAACACACAAGTAAAATAAATGTAAATTTGTTAAGCATGAAAGACAAAAAGGTCAAAGTCTAAAACTGAAAATCAAACAAATTTACTGCAGTGTTTTTAAAAAGCGTGCCCCAATGAGACACAGTACCTGTTTTGTGAAGTCACCCAGCTACTTGGGGTTTTCAGTACGTGTCTCAGATCTGTGTGTGTGTTTCTAGCTGCTGAAGCACAACTCCTGACTTACACACCCCACACATCCCCTCCGTAAATGTGCTGACACTTCCCACACACATCAGCCATCCACTTCGCTCCATTCTGCTCTGCCGATGTTGGCAAGCAACCTGCACGTCACCTGGCCCAGTACAGTAACCGAACTGGAAGCACTCCTGCCTCTCACAGGAACCTTCACAGCTGTGTCAGATCACATGATGCCCGTCTCAAACCCCACCGCAGGCTTCCTAGTACACATCCAATAAAGCCTGGACTCTCGTGAACTCTGTCTTTCCTAATCCACCAGTTACTGTCTGTCTCCTTCACCCCACTTCGCCCAAGCCACTTTTCTTACCCCTTTATTCTTTGAGCAACCCAAATATGTTTCTGTTCTCTCCTCTTCCCAAAATCTGTCTTTGCACATCTCATACAGAAGCCTCTCAACCAGACATCTGACATCTTCTGAAATTTGCCCCATTTTTTACCTTTTCCTCACCTACCCTTAAACACAAGCACACACACAAATATGCATTTTAACATCCATTCCTAGGCTGCTCTCTGTCCTTTCCTAGCTCAAGCTCTCTTCTGCCTTGAGTTTCTTTTCTGCTGTCCAGAAGTTCCAAGCCTTGTCTAGCTCCCCAAATCTGGCTGAAATCCCACTTGCCAAGCAACAGTCTAAAATCCTCCTCCAAGATCTCCACGTTCCCCATCACAACAGACTTGATCTGTACCTGACCAAGCACAATGCCGGCGGCTCAGCAGCATTAGCTCTTGTTTCTACTGCTGAGGCGAAAAACCATGACCAAAGAGCACGCTGGGAAGGAAAGGGCTTATCAGGCCTATACTTCAACATTGCTGTTCATCATTGAAAAAAGTCAGAACAGGAACTCAAAACAGGGCAGGATCCTGGAAGCAGGAGCTGATGCAGAGGCCATGGAGAGGTGCTGCTTACTGGCTTGCTCCCCATGGCTTGCTCAGCCCACCTTCTTATGAAACCCAGGACCAGCAGCCCAGGGATGGCACCACCCACCATGGACTGGGCCCTCCCCCATTGATCACTAATTGAGAAAGTGCCTTACAACTGGATCTCATCTCCACAAGGGAGGCTCCTTCCTCTGATGACTCTAACTTGTGTCAAACTGACACACAAAAGCAGTCAGTACAGATGCACGTTATCACCACCTTTGTACTCCCTCAATCAATACAAAGCGGAAACTAAACAGTTCCTGAAGTAAACCGAAGATTCTGATTGCTCGGCCTAATGCCTAATCCAGCATCTTCTGCACAAGGATGGTGTTTAGTGTCGGTCAAATGATCGAGCGTTTTATTTTGCAGCCCAGTCAATCTTACCCCAAAGCAGAAAATACTTAGTGATGTTTTTAAACAGTCAGCTACAGCAAGAAGTAAACATCTTAAGAAACATAAGAAACTTACCAGAGTCAATCTGAATCCTTTAGAAGAAGGCTGAAGGGTCAGTTTTATACATGCAGGAAGCAGGCTCACAAATGTAAGGCAAAAGCTAAAAAGCAATAAAATGTGTCTTCTGTGACAGAAATCTAGCTAAAACAATTACTTTTTAAAATATAAGGATTATATCATTCATCAATCTAATTTGATCCCAGATTAAACTTTATTATTTATTAAACTTTAAACTAGAACCTAAATAAAGCATACACATTGAAGTATGTGTACACTTTTGTACACAATTCCAATGTGGTGGTATTGTGTTCCCCAAAATATTGTGTACCTTAATAAACTTATCTGGGGTCAGAGAACAGAAAAGCCACAAGATACTTAGGCTAGAAAATGTTAGCACACAGCCGGGCGGTGGTGGCGCACGCCTTTAATCCCAGCACTCGGGAGGCAGAACCAGGCAGATCTCTGTGAGTTCAAGGCCAGCCTGGGCTACCAAGTGAGTCCCAGGAGAGGCGCAAAGCTACACAGAGAAACCCTGTCTCGAAAAACCAAAAGAAAAAAAGAAAATGTTAGCACACGCCTTTAATCCTAGCATTCCAGAGACAGAAATCCCTCTGGATCTCTGTGAGTTCAAGGCCGCATTGGAAACAGCTAGGCATGGTGACTCACGCCTTTAATCCCAGAAAGCAGCCTTTAATCCCAGGGAGTGGTGGTAGAAAGCAGAAAGGGCGTGAGGACCAGAAACTAGAGGCATTTGGCTGGTTAAGCATTTGGCCTGGTTAAGCATTTGGCTGGTTAAGCATTCAGGCTTTTGAGCAGCACAGTTCAGCTGAGAGCCATTGGGATGAGGACACAGAAGCCTCCAGTCTGAGGAAACAAGACCAACTGAGGAATTGGCAAGGTGAGATAGCTGTGAGGAATTGACAAGGTGAGATAGCTGTGGCTTGTTCTGTCTCTCTGATCTACCAGCATTGACCCCAATAACTGGCCTCGGGTTTGACTTTATTAATAAGAACTTTTAAGATTCATGCTACATTCCAATATAATACAAAACCAAACAATACCAAGTATTGCATTTGTCATTTCGCATTTAATATCATGTATAAAGATATAAAGAACAGAGTTGCAGGTCAGTTAGCAAACACTAGAAAATCAAAAAACACTACCAGGCCTAAGGAGACAACACTGTATTTCCAACACAACTACTCATAAACTTAACTCTCAGGGGAGTCCTGGCCCTCACTCCACAAAAGTTGACAATCTGAGTTTTCAAGTCCAGAAAGAACAAATCATAAGGAGTGAGCAGCTTCTCTTAGTGATGGCTGGGGAGTAGGGAAGAGACAAGGCAGACACAGCCACCTCAGCACTGTGAGAGATGTGATTCCCAGAGCCTGAACACACCTCAGCGCTGTGACAGACAGCTCCCAGAGCCTGAGCACACCTCAGTGCTGTGACAGACAGCTCCCAGAGCCTGAACACACCTCAGCGCTGTGACAGACAGCTCCCAGAGCCTGAGCACACCTCAGCGCTGTGACAGACAGCTCCCAGAGCCTGAGCACACCTCAGCGCTGTGACAGACAGCTCCCAGAGCCTGAACACACCTCAGTGCTGTGACAGACAGCTCCCAGAGCCTGAGCACACCTCAGCGCTGTGACAGACAGCTCCCAGAGCCTGAGCACACCTCAGTGCTGTGACAGACAGCTCCCAGAGCCTGAGCACACCTCAGCACTGTGACAGACAGCTCCCAGAGCCTGAGCACACCTCAGCACTGTGAAAGACAGCTCCCAGAGCCTGAACACGGTATAAGTCTCAACACAGAACCTCCTGACTTCCTTACTTTCGGGGGTTCTGTACCCAATGAGCTCACGAGGCTGAACTGAAGTCCCCAGACTCCCTTTTTGTATATTTCCTGTGAGGAAAAAAAGTCTATTCTGAGAGGCGAATGTGGTGACATTTTATTTGTGCAACTGAATAAAGTTTCTCTGAGGATCAGAGGAAAAAGCCAGCCATTATATTAATCATAGAAGTCAGGCAATGGTAGCACATGCCTTTAATTCTATAATTCAGGAGGCAGGGATCTGTCTGGATCTCTGTGAGTTCAAGGCCGCACTGGGAACAGAGCCTTAAATTCCAACACTAATTAACCATAAAGGTTTGGAGGTCTGTATAGACAGACAGGGAGTGACAGAGCTGGGCAGGAAGAAGAAGTGATGTAGCTGGACAGAGAGAGCAAACAGAACAGAAAGGCATATAGACGTGGGTATACAGGAAGTAGGTCTCTTTGGAAGCTGAGGGGTCGGTGAGGTGACATTGGCTTGTGGCTTTTCCTATTCCTCTGATCTCTCAGGTTTTCACCTCACTATCTGGCACTGGGATTTTTGTTTAATAGGACCATTTAGCAATTGGTCTACAGGCAGAGCCCACAAGAAAGGCAACACCCACCTGCTACTCAAGCAAAGGGGAGTGTCTGTCCTGGGGCCTGGCAATCAGCTGGAAGCCCCGAAGACAGCTTAGGCCTCCTAATAGCCATGATGGGGCAGGTGCACTTCCTTCCCAAAACATTCCTGATGCCTGTCATGTGGACTTCTGGTTTGCTTAGCCAGACCCCACAACTGCATTATCCAATTCTTGTGATAAGTTCACACACAGAATAACCTCTAACTTGCTCTATTTTGCTGGCAAATGCTGGCTGCACACCTGTGACAATCATGAATTCTTCAAGATAATGTTAACCTATAGTGTATGTTCTAGTTAAAGGAAAAATAAGAAAAATGTTCACATAAAATAATTCAGACTGGGAAGGAAAAGAGGGAGAAGATAAAGATTAGGAGGAGGAGAAGTCAGGCAGCGGTGGCGCTTGCCTTGAATCCCAGCTGGGGAGGCAGAGGCAGGCAGATCTGAGTTGAGGCCAGCCTGGTCTTCAGAGCAAGTACCAAGGACAGACAGGGCTACACAAAAAACCTGTTTTAAAAAAATAAACATAAAAAAAGGGGGTGGTGAGGAGAAAGAGGAGGAGGACAGAATTGTATTGTATTAAGTGGGAAGTCACTAATGACCAGCTCAGATAAATAGCACATTACTGTAATTGGGTTGGTTTTTTTTGAGAAAGGGTTTCTCTGTGTAGCTCTGGCTGTCCTAGAACTCACTTTGTAGACCACGCTGGCCTCAAACTCACAGAGATCCACCTGCCTCTGCCTCCTGAGTGCTGGGGTTAAAGGCGTGCGCCACCACCGCCCCACTTACTGTGATATTTTTGAAGGTTAGTTTATAAAGCACTATATATATATATTATGTTAGTTACCTGATTGCTAGCTGGATGTGACGAGGCAAAATGTCCTTAATCTTCAGAAAAACATTAATGCTGCACCAAATATTGGCTACTTTATCCTTAAAAGAAATTTGTTAGTTTTACATTTTGGTATAATTGAAAGAAATATTAAACCCCATGAAGTACAGCCTATAATCTCCAGGTAATAAACTTTAGAGACATGAAACTTTCATTCACATTTATAACAAAGTAGATTAAACTCTTCAAGCAATAAAAATATATACCCACAGCCTAGAGCATTTTTCTTTTTCTTTTTTGAAATGCAGATTATATAAAGCATTAGTCAACCATAATCCACATTCTAGTAAACTACTTAATATTTTTCAAAAGGCAGTATATTAAGCAAAAATCTCCCCAAACTTGTAAAATAAATATTAATTACATTTGCACCATTTTATTACAAATGTAACTTTCTGTCACATAATCTAATAGGTACTAGCAATGACAAGACTAATTGCTAATAAATCAAGAAGCTTTAAAACATTAGCAGTTGGGCTGGGCTTACTCAGAAGGAGATTTGCTATCTCAGCTCCCCAGCTGGTGCCACCCATCCTCTACACAGCTGCAAACATGGCATCAGGAGAGGGGTGGCTGCCAGCAACTGCCCCACCCACTTCCTGGTCAAGACAAGGTCTAGAGCAGCCGCTCCCAACCTGTGGGTCAAACCACCCTTTCACAGGGGTCGCCTAAGACCACCTGCACATCAGATATTTACAGTACAATTCATAACAGTAGCAAAATCACAGTTATCAAGTAGCAACAAAAATAATGTTATGGTTGGGGGGGTCGCAACATGCGGATCTGTATTAAAGAGTTGCTGCATTAGGAAGGTTGAGAACCACTGCTCTGGAGCTTCTGTGGTGAACAAGGAACAGGGGACTGGTGACACATTAAATATGTCTGACACCACTCCATGACTCACTGTCACAGACACTTTCTGAAATGGAAGATACAACAAATAACAGGCAGTCTTTATAGAAAATCAAGCTTTGCTTTGCTATTAAGGTTATCAAGACTTGAAATCATGACTCTGCCACATACCATGTCTATGAATGTCTAACCTCAGTTTCCTATCTGTACAACAGGGACAAGAGCCATCTTAGAGCTGTGGGGATCATAAGTCATGCAGAAGGGTCTAGCACCTAACGAGTGATATTAAGCAACAATGGGGATACCACCAATCTGTACAGCGACACTGTCCACACACCTCTGCATTCACAACCACACTGTTTAGTCTCTTTCAAAACGTTATCCCATCCTCCTGTAAATCCATGGAAAACTATTTTATAGAAATAATGTATTCAAAACTTAGAGATGCTTTCTAATTCTTTTCAAAAGAAATGTTATTCAAAAGCAAATTATCTATAAATATGTTGTCTCTAAGTTTATTAAAAGACCTTTTGTTTCAGAAATAAATGGTTTGTTTAATTTAATTACTAAATCTAAATGATCAAATTATTCATGCAATAAAAGTTTAACCAGAGTGATTAAAGTAGCATTAAATGAAGGATTCTCATTAAAAATTACTGTGGATGAAGGTTATATATTTCATAAGGAATTATGAGATCTTTCTGAGGCAAACAGGATTATCAGCTTAACAAATAATTCTGGCAAACTAAGAAGAGAATGTAAACCAACACGGTGGCAGGCTGGTTAACTTGGTTGCCTCAGCATTCAATGCTCTTTTACCATGGACCAATCTGACTTTTAAAAAAGTACAACTGAAGCCGGGCGGTGGTGGCGCACGCCTTTAATCCCAGCACTCGAGAGGCAGAGCCAGGCGGATCTCTGTGAGTTCGAGGCCAGCCTGGACTACCAAGTGAGTTCCTGGAAAGGCGCAAAGCTACACAGAGAAACCCTGTCTCGAAAAACCAAAAAAAAAAAAAAAAAAAAAAAAAGTACAACTGAATTATGGACCTAATTATGGCAAAAATATTACCTATTCATAAGGCACTAAAAAATGCCAACTAAGTCAGGGGTGCTATATTGGATTAATAACTGACAGGATGACTGGAGGAGGAAACGGAAGTTACTGTCCCTGGTATCTCCTCTATGAGCTCCCCAAAGTTAAAAGGGAGGTGCAGTAATAGAAGAAGGTCCATTTGTAAACATACCTCAAACAATCCACGATCAATAGGGAAGAGTCTTCTTAGAACCTGCAGGGCATGTTCCCTTTCTGTAAAGAAGGGCAACCAACACAGAAGGAAGGAAGCCACGACAGTACAGGCTATCTTAATCAACGACTCAAACCTAGAACAAAGAGCGGAGACAAGCAGTAAGACAGAGAAAGCCTAACAATTCTTGAAAAGTGATGTGACTATCATTCAATACAATAACCGCAAATATAACAGCACTGTCAATTGATACTATCAATAAAGATTTAAGATGGGAATCCACTCACAACACAGCTGAAATTTTCACAACTGTTAAAAGACTCATTTTTCCAGCCAAAGACCCACCACTATCATAATTAGCATTTAGCTTGGCTGTCACTGCTACAGGCATGAAGGGATGCAGCCACAAAGAAAAATGTCAAGCAGGAGTATTTTTAATAAGTGGATAGCATGATAAGCTCTAAAGTGATAGCACTCCACAGGAGTATTCTGGAAAACTGGCCCAGACTGCCTCCGAAGTGTACATGGATCCAAACAGTCCTGTAGTTACGAGGATTTGCAAGGGTACAGAACATGGCTCAATAACTTTCTTCCATTCATCCATGCATGGCCAACACATTTATAAGAAAGCACCTAAACCAAAGACCACCTTCCTCCAGATAAGTATGCAAAAAAATTCTCTAAAAATTTTTAATTCTGTGCTCTAAGAGTCACTTACCCCTTTCCTTTGAGGCCTTTTTTAAAACACTTGCCAAGTAAAAAGCAAAAAAATGGCAGGGAATGGTAGAGCTCCATCTGTTTATAATTTAGAGCTAAGCAAAATGCCAATGATCCTAGCAGGTCCCAGTCACAAGATACTCCAAGAACACCCCACAAAGCAAAACCAAGACTCACAGAATTATATCTGTCCCTGTGTCAAGGAAATTAAGCCACAGAGCTTGCATTTTGTAAACATATTTCTTGTGTGATTAAAAACAACATGTAAACTAAAAGCTTACTTCTAAATATAAACTGAAAATATTAAAGTGATAAAAATGTATACACAGCAGGCTCAAATATATTGTCTGCTGTTAAACAGCAATGTGTAAAGGTTTAAAGGAGTTACAAATACAGACAACATAGTTTTGTTTCTGTTAAACTACTTCACAGTATTATAATAATATTCCAAATCTGCAGAATAAAACCACTCTGGCAGCAAGTTCAACACCGACAACAAAATCGTTGTTGTCACTGTATGCTTCTGTCAATCAGGTAAGAATCAAAAGAAAAAGAGGAGCAGGAAGAGAAAGAAAATCTTAATTAGAAATTCAAAACATGCCTAACAAAACAAATGGAATTTAACAGAGGTGTTAATGGTAAAGACAGAGTAATTTCCTATAAGGCACAAAACAGAAAGGAAACCTGCAGAAGAGGGAAATAAAAACTCTAACACCTGAAGAAAGCTCAGCATGCACATGGCACCTCACACTTGTCTGTAAATTCAGTTCCAGCGGATCCAACATTCTCATACAGACATGCACACAGACATGCACACAGGCAAAACACCAGTGCATATAAAATAAAAATAAACTATAAAAAAAATAAGGGGAAAAAATGTTGGATATGGTGGTACACATCTTTAATACCAGGACTGGAGAGGCAGAGGCAGGTGGATTTCTATGAGTTTAAGGCCAGTCTGGTCTACAGCAAATTCCAGGATAGCCAGAGCTATATACAGAGTTACTCTGTCCCCCCCACAAAAAAAATGTAAATAAAAATAAAATTAAAAATAATAAGGAAAGAATACATAATTGTTTAAAAAAATATCTCCCCACAAAATTGCGTAACTCAGAAACTTGAAGACTTTAATTCACCACACCAGACTTTTATCAACTGAAAAGAGTTCATATAAGTATATATGACAATAGAGGATGGCAGTGCTACGTGCTGATGGGTGATGTCACTCTATATGCTGTGAATGTGTTGCTCTGATTGGTTGATAAATAAAATGCTGAATGGCCAGTAGTCGGGCAGGAAGGTGGGAGATAAACAGACAAGGAGAATTCTGGGAAGAAGAAGGCTGAGTCAGGAGTCACCAGCCAAACACAGAGGAAGCAAGATATAAAAGCAGAACGGAGAAAAGGTACCAAGCCACGTGGCTACACATAAATAAGAATTATGGGTTAATTTAAGTGTGAGAGCTAGTCAGTAATAAGCTTGAGCTAACGGCCATACAGTTCGTAAATAATATAAGCCTCTGTGTGTTTACTTGGGGAACGCAAGTGGCAGAGATTTGTCCTAACCACGGGCCAGGAGGGACACAGGAAAACTTCAGCTACTACGTGCAGTGAGCCTAGATTATAATATATAACTGATTTCATTTCCAATTTAATAAAGGATACTGAAAATGTCCATAGTCGATAAGAATAAGACCTGGATACAGCAATATGCATAATGCACTAGCGATCTGTGAAGAAAAGTATGATAGATAAAGAGGTCATTATTATAGCAGAGTGACGAGCACTGTACATCCAGCATGCAGGGAACATCCATCTTCCTGAGGCACTGTCCTTCCTTATTCAAAATATTCCATTTTCAAGAGACACCTGTTAAGACACTAAAGTTTTCATGGAAGCAAAAGAAAATACTTTAATAAAAAGTAAAAATTACTGAAAAAGTTCAGTTGTTTTGTTGAGTCACACTATGTAGCTCTGAGTGTCCCGAAACTCACTATGTAGGCCAGGCTGTCCTCAAGCTCATAAAGATGCATGTACCTGACTCTGCCTCCCAGAATGCTGGAATTAAAGGCACCCTTGTCATTTAATCAAATGACTGGCTATCTAATCATTCAATGTAAAATTCTCAAGAAAGGATGCTTGATAATGACTGTGAACAGACACACACACTTTCCAACATGCCCTTTAGTCAAGTCCTTGTCCCCAGCCAGCTCAGAACTCTGATTTACAAGCTTAGCAATAAGTCCAGCATGGCATGGGTCAACAGTACAGTACTTCTGAAGTTCAATGCAGTCTGTTATTACTAGAGCACACTTAAAGTAATTATTGCAAGTTAAACTACTGTTTCTAAATGAAAATTAATAAATAGAAGACAAAATATTCATTATCCTATCTACTCCCAAAGAGCAGGGCTTCCTTAAAGTTGGTACTTAGTATGTTAGTAATAAACATTTCAGAGATGAAATGTCAGACAGCTTTAAAACTTACCTTTCTCTTAGGTGAGCTTTCTCTTAAGGAGTAACAGTACAAAAGCACCGCTGGGATGTAAATGAGCAGATCAGCAACGAAAACTGTAACAAGCAAATACAATGCGTCCATCAGGCTCTCCACCAACCACCTTCCTCCCACAGCCTTGAGAACTGTGTTAACACTACCTGCAAGTCCCTACACAACTAGCCCTTTGCATTCCCTCTGCTTATAAAGGCTGCATCCCAAGACGCTTCTCTGACTTTAATACACGTAATCAACGAGACGAGGACCCGCAGTCACGCTCTTGCGGCTCAGACTTGAGCGTCAAATGAACGCTCAGAGGACAGGAAGACAGTCTGGTCTCTCGTATCTGCACACTCAAAATGTTCTGCTCAGAACAGCTCCAAGGAGAATCTTTACTGCTGCTATTTATAAAAACATACAAACTGCCGGGCGGTGGTGGTGCACGCCTTTAATCCCAGCACTCGGGAGGCAGAGGCAGGCGGATCTTTGTGAGTTCGAGGCCAGCCTGGTCTACAGAGCGAGATCCAGGAAAGGCGCAAAGCTACACAGAGAAACCCTGTCTCGAAAAACCAAAAAAAAAAAGAAAGAAAGAAAAGAAAAATAAAAAAAATAAAAAAAAAAACATACAAACTTTTACTAGTTGATGCATATAAAGAGTTAGAGAGAGCCTAGCAGTGTCTCATGAACATTATTTTTTTATCCATCAGCAGGATGCAGCATGAGAATGAGGCCCCGGGCTTCATATGAGTTCCAAACCAGCCATGATAGAAGACATGGCAGGACTCTGTCTCAAAGGAAAAAAAAAAAAAAGAGCTTGAGAGGCCTGGGTAAGCAAGAAACTGGAAATACATACATCGTGTATGAGTGTGTGTCTGTGTGTACATAAGAAGGGATGGTACGAGACAAAAGAATAGGGGCAGGGACAAAACAGAGAAACAGCAATGTATAATTCCTTGTTGTACAGTCGTTTTAGAACAACAACAACAACAAATTCTCCAACAGGACAACATTGCTGTCCCAAAAGTCTGTTATCCTGCATGAGGAAGGCACTTTTAACGTTGGGCACTCTCTGAACTAGAATGGGCTTTAACTAGTGTGACTCTCGGGGATACAGATATCAGTGTGGGTGCTGAGAACCATGGGACGAACATGCCAAAAAAGAAAACAGTGGAAAGCCCTGGAAGAAGGAGAGACGAGCAAGAGGGCAGACAAACACAAGCTATCTCCTGGATGATATTCCATAAGAGGTGGACAGTAAAGACAACAGAAAGTCCTTGGGTTAATTAACAACAAAAGGTGAAAGTCAGATATTAAATAAATTAAATCTTAGCTCTATAATGCTTTTAAAGAAATCAAAGCTTACTACTTTCAACCTAGAGCAGTGCATAACAATGCTCTACAAACACTGATGACAGGCTGGGGGTGCGGCTCGGTGGGAAGGCTTGCCTAGCATTTTAAATCCCTTTGTTCAGTCCCCAGCACCACTCAAAAAGAGAGGAGGAGAGCCTGGCAGTGGTGGCGCACGCCTTTAATCCCAGCATTCAGGAGGCTGAGCCAAGCGAATCTCTGTGAGTTCAAGGCCAGCCTGGTCTACAGAGCAAGATCCAGGACAGGCACCAAAACTACACACAGAAATCCTGTCTCCAAAAACCAAAGAGGGGGGAAAAAAAAGAGAGAGGAGGGAGTGTTTGAGTGGGTTGTTTAATGTACAAACACCACAATGTATGAAGCCCCACTCTAAGGACGGCTTTAAGAACAGTGAAGGAACCTGGGATTAGGATACTAAAGCAGCAGCGTAAACAAGTACAACTTCAGTTCCTAACTATCTGACTGAGCCTCAGTAGTTTCCTCAGCTTAAAATAAGGGTAAGAATATTCATTGCATCATGGGAGCAAGTGAGATAATCGATGTGAAATACACAGACTTATTCCTTTACTCTTGGTTTAAAGCTTACATATACTTTTAGTCTTGCAGCACACACACACATATATGCATAATTATACAATTTTAAAACCATTAGAACAGTAGCCAGGCATGGTGGCGCACACCTTTAATCTCAGAACTCAGGAGGCAGAGGCAGGCAGACCTCTGTGAGTTCAAGGCTGGCCTGGTCTACATAGTGAGTTCTAGGACAGCCAGGGCTACACAGTGAGACACTGTCTCAAAAACAAACAAAAAAAGAATAATAACGCTATTTTATCAATTTACCCAAATTGTTTTTAAAACTCAAATTTTTGACCCCATGCCAACTGCTCTTTTACCTGTGGTACGCATGAAGAGCTTGTGCGCCTGACTCTCATAGCCACGAGATGTATGCAGAGCAACCCAGTCGGGATTTACAAACTCTGCCCTGCAAATCAAAGCATACATACATGCACTTTATTCTTCTTGGTTTTAGTAAGAAGGGCACCTGAGAACCTAGACTCTAAGAGTCGGCTGCTGCTGTTAATAGGGTCAATACTGAAGCTCTTCTCCTTGTATTTAATCGTGCAAAATTCACTGAGGATACAAAACAGTATCTCATCTACCTTGCCCATCTTCCAATAAAACCATGCAATACGCAGATGTCTGACCCTTGTCATTCTAGTGTAAAAAATATTCTGATATCACATTTCATTATTAAAAACATACTTCGCTTAGAACCTCTTCAGTTACCAATACAACTGGCTATAATAAACATATTGGTCATAAATTTCCCATAAAATTCAGCCATTATTATTGATAAATCTAGCTTTTAATCATATTATAATATCCTGAACACTACAAAGTATAACTAACCATCATGTTTAGGAACTTAATTTCAACCCATTATTAAAATATGAAACAGTTAAAGGTTGAAATAATAAAGCACGAAAAATGAGCTCAGGAGACACCGTGAAGATGTTTCTCAAATGTCTGCTGACACATGAAGTCTACGAGGAATGTGCTCCAGCAGTGAACAGGGTCCCCACCAAACACAAGTCCTCGTCTAGAAAGCACTTCATTTGTTTATTTTTTTAAAGGAGGCATGCCTATCCTACAAGTTTCTACCTTAGCAGATAAGTTAAGAAGGCCATTTGGCAACACTCAGGAGGCAGAGGCAGGCAGAGCTCTGAGTCTGAGGCCAGCCTGGCCTACAGAGTGAGTTCTAGGACAGCCAGGGATGCACAGGGAAATGGGGGGTGGGGTGGGAGGGGACTGGAACTACAGTTTTCATTTACTTGGCTACTATCCAGAAAAATTAAAGCTTTCTTATATTACACTGCTCAGCAGTCATGTGCAGTTGCTAACTGCTCTACTCCAAAACAAATTAAGTCCTGCATTCTTTCTTGCCTGTACACCACAAACATTACAGAAATGTTCAAAATCTGATAGTGGCTCTTAAACTTGTCATATGATCGAAGCTACAAGCAATCACACTTACATAAACCAGATCACACTGTGTCTAAGGGCATAAATATTCAGTTCTATTTTAAAAAGAGAAACTCACACATATGCACATAAGAGACTATGATAGGCTGTAAGAGGTGGGTAATCCAGTCCCCAGTACTGTAAATTGTTGTCACTGCTGTTAAAATACCTGGAAAAATAAAAAGCACAATTCCATTACCAATATTCAAGACGTAATTTAATATCTCACGCCATTTAATTAAAATTAAGCTTAATGGTTTGACTAATTAAGGCATTAATAATTACTCTATGACATCAAATACAAACAGGGATGCCCAGGTACCTAGGACTTATTCTTAGCAGACTTAGTAAATTAATTATACTCATACAACAAAATATATGCAAGAAGGACAATTTGTTTCTGATACTATAACAAATTAGAAAAACAGCATTTTTAAAGCATAATTTAAAAAATACAAGGCCAGATGGATGGATCTAGAAAAAATCATCCTGAGTGAGGTAACCCAGACTCAGAAAAACAAACATGGTATGTACTCACTCATAGCAGGATACTAGACATGAAACAAGGATGAATTGTCTGCTACTCACATCACCAGGGAGGCTACCCGGAAAACAGGACCCCAAGAAAGACACAGGGATCGCCCAATGACAGAGAAATGGAATGAGATCTACATGAACAGCCTGGACATGAGTGGGGGTAATGAAAGGCGAGGGTCGAGGGAAAGAGAGCTTGGGGGAGCAGGAGATCCCAGCTGGATCAACAACAGAGAGGGAGAACAAGGAATAGGAGACCATGGTAAATGAAGACCACATGAGAACAGGAAGAAGCAAAGTGCTAGAGAGGCCCACAGAAATCCACAAAGATACCCACACAACAGACTGCCGGCAATGGTCGAGAGACAGCCCGAACTGACCTACTCTGGTGATGGGATGGCCAAACACCCTAATTGTTGTGCTAGAAACCTCATCCAACTACTGAGGGATCTGGATGCAGAGATCCATGACTAGGCCCTGGGTGGATCTCTGGGAGTCCAATCAACGAGAATGAGGAGGGTTTATATGAGCGAGAATTGTTGAGACCAAGGTTGGATAAAGCACAGGGACAAATAGCCAAATGAATGGAAACACATGAACTATGAACCAATGGCTGAGGGGTCCACACTGGATCAGGCCCTCCGAATGGGTGAGACAGTTGATTGGCTTGATCTGTTTGGGAGGCATCCAGGCAGTGGGACCAGATCTTGTGCTCATTGCATGAGTTGGCTGTTTGAAACCTGGGGCCTATGCAGGATTGTTTGGCTTGGCCTGGGAGGAGGGGACTAGACCTACCTGGACTGAGTCTACCAGGTTGACCTTAGTCTGTGGGGAAGGCTTTGCCCTGGAGGAGATGGGAATGGGGGGGGGGGGGCGTTGGGGGGAAGGTGAGGGGGACAGGAGGGGGGAGAACAAGGGAATCCGTGACCGATATGTAGAACTGAATTGTATTGCAAAATAAATTAAAATAAATTAAAAAAAAAAAAATCAGTGCAAAAAAAAAAAAAAAAAATACAAAGCCAGTTTCAAAGAACACAAGAAAATACAGTATGGTGATATTTTATTTGTACTGAAATGTGATTTTATTTGTATGTTAATAAATAAAGTTGCCTGGGGGTCAGAGCTGATAGCAAGCCATAGCAGAAGTCTGGCCATGGTAGCACACACCCTTAATCCCGATCACATGACAGGCAGATCTCTGTGTGTTCAAGGATACCACCAGCATGGAGACACACACCTTTAATCTTAATACCAACCATAGAGACCTGGAGGTCTGTATAGATGGGCAGTGATGAGGAGGTCATGTGGTTTGGTTTACAACCAATGAGAAGGCAGAACAGAAAGTCTATAAAAAGACAGATACACAGGAAGTAGCGCTCTTGCTGAGAGGAAGGACAGCAGCAGCAGCGGCAGTGAAGGGTAAGCTCAGCTCTCAGCTACTGCTCTGACCTCTTGGGCTTTTAACTCTGCAATTGGCTCTGTGTTTCTTATTTAATAAGACTGTTCATCTACAATACAGTTTATGGAAAGAGGAAGACTTCATGGAGTCAGGAGGCTTGATGAAGATTTTGAAAACAATTTAGCTGCATATAAAAAACCTGTCTAGAGTCCATAAATATGCTCAGCTCCTCCAGTTACAGCTGTGAAGGAATTATAAAAAGCTACTGTGTCTCTAAAAGGAAAACTAAGCTTATATAAATATATTTCTTAGTTATGTCCTTTATAGATAAGCAACTTCTTCCATCCACTTTACTCTCAGTCTCAGGAGCAATTTACAGTAATGCAGAGCAAACTGCATCACCTCCAAATAACCGCTCATCATCTTGTTTCAAATGGGTCACAAGCTCTCACTTCTCCAACATGAAGACTTAAGTTAGCACTCAACAAGGTTCTCATCAAGAGGGGGGATCTAGCCCACCTGAGTTGAGCTGTTGGCAATTGATGGCTGCTAGGGAAGGGAGGGTCAGATGTTTGGTAGGGTGCCGTGCTCAGCAGGTGGCCCACCCCCCATAAACACGCTGGCAGCAGTAACTGGATTCAGTGGGTTACAAAAGGAAGACATGAAGTTGGAAGGAGACTGAGGCAGAGAGGTCTCTGGGAGAAGCTAGAGTGGGGGGAGGTAAATATGATCAAAATACATATATGATATTCTCAAAGAATATATTTAAAGTGTATTTACAGAGATCTCCATCAAGTAATTGATTGTTCACACCCAGATTTGCTCTTCTTTAAATGTAGCGTGTACAGAGCTGAGGATTAGTAAATTGTTTGAAGCCTACTAGAGAGCTGAATGACATGGGTGGGGGCACTGTGGTACAGTATGGCTGGTGGCATTCGGATGCTCCAGCAGAAACATCCACAGGAGCATCCTGAGTCCTGTGTGTGGCTGGCACCAGAAGCCAGAAATCAGTGTCTTCTCCTCATGAGCTGCAGGCCAGGCCCTCTGCACAGCCTGAATCTGCCAGGAAAAGATGGTGCACAAGGGCTCGGTTCTCTAGGAAGGGTTGCCTGATGCCAGGCACCAACTGTGTTACTTCCAAATTCACACCACCGGAAGGCACACCGCACAACACTTCGCTGCGTCTGCCTCACAGCGCTGTTCAAGCACTCAGTTAAACAAGTGAAGCTGTCAAGTCACTGCTTGGCAGAACCTAAGTTCTTAGCAGTAGTTCAAATTTGCCATTAACCAACAAACTACTGGGATGGATACAGCAACGGGAAGTCACCGAGTCATTGAAGATTACATTTTGACCAAAACAAGTTGATGTGGTTTCCAGCTTATAAAGAAAAGCTAATTTTCGTTTAGTTGAACCTTGAAATTCACTGGAGATGAGTGGAAGAGGCGCTGAAGTGACAATGAGCTGTAAAAATGCAAAGACTTCTGCTATGGCAAGAAGGTAATGTTAAGACTGCGCTCCCCACTCTTAGGGTAATTCCTAAGAGGGAGCCTGCTCCTAGGCACAGGCCTGTAATCACAGTCACTCAGATAAGGCAACAGAATTACCATTCAAGGCCAGCCTGGACTACACCGTGGGACTGTTTAAAAGGGGGAAAGAAAAAGAAAAAAGAAGCCCAGAAGATGGCTGTGTAGCTCTGCAGCTTGGTGGTCCAGTCCTTGCCTAGCATGCAGTGTGGTGGTTTGAATAAAAGTGGCTCCCATATTAATCCCAGCACTCAGGAGACAGAGACAAGAGGATCTCTGTGAGTTCAAGGCCAGCCTGCTCTATAAAGTGAGTTCCAGGACAGCCAGAGCTGCTATGCAGAGAAACCCTGTCTTGAAAAACCAAACCAAAACAAAATAAATAAATAAACAGAATGGCTCCCCTAGGCTTATATATTTCATGTTAGTCATCAGGAAGTGGAACTCTAATGATTAGAAGGATTAGGTGTGGTCTTGTTGGAGTAGATGTGAACTCATTGGAGGAAGTGTGCTCAATGGGGGTGGGCTTTTAGGTTTCAGAAGCCCATGCTAGGCCCAGTTCTCTTTCTGCTCGCAGATCAGGATGTAGCTCTGAGCTACTGCTCCATCTTCTCTCATATGTGGATCCTAAATTTTAATTCTCACATATACATACAGATACGAAGGTGTAGGTGAAGAAATTAGAAAGGGGACCATGAAAGGAGAAAAGATCTTAAAGGGTTGAGAAGAGAGAAAGGACTAATGGGGGGCTAGAGATACAGCTCATTGGTTAAGGTGTATGTATTGCCCTTGGAGAGGACCAGTGTTTGGTTCCCAGCACCCATATCCAGAGGCTCACGAGTGACTGTAACTCTAGCTCCAGGGGATCCAACATCATCCTCTGGACTCAACTGCATACATGCCCACAAACAGGCACACAAAAAAATTTAAAGTCCTTTTAAAAGAAGGGCTATAGAATATGTAAGACATGAGAGCAGAGAGGGGACTCTTGGTTGGGGAGAAAGGGAACCAGGAAGAGTGAGCGAGAGAAGAGAAGGGAGTGGGCAAGGGTGATAAGAACAAAGCATGTGTGGAAATGCCTTAATCAAACCCTTACTCACTGCATGTGGTTGCGATTGCCTTTAGCCCCAGCACTGGGGAGGCAGAGGCAGGCGGATCTCTGAGTTCAAGGCCAGCCTGGTCTACAAAATGAGTTCCTGGACAGCCAGGGCTATTACACAGAGAAACCCTGTCTCAAAAACAAAAACAAACAAAAAAGCCCTTGCTGACCCAGTAAAATATGGAGACAGTTACTTCCACTCTGCTAGAAGAGAGAGTTAAGCTGTCTGCAGAGGTGGAACCAACAGTGACCTGGGAGCTGAACTCAGGCGGTCTGCATGGCACCTACACTCTTCCCGTTTTAACATTACTAAGGTCCCGAAGAGACACTCTGGGACACCTCCAGGCAGATGTGCACACAACATGAAGGTGAAGTACCACTGCTTCAGTGGTTGAGAATAACAGCAATCTCTACGATGCTCTGAGTTCTACAAAGCAGGAGATCCATACAAACCATACCATGAAACCACTGATGGTAGAGTGGCCTTTTCTTTACACTACAGGGAGAGCTATAGTAATAAGACCACATAAGAAAGGACAAATGAACATTCCTTCCTTCGAGAGGTGTTCACAGGGGTCTGCATCGTGCCAGGACCCACACTAGATGCAGAGTACTCTAGGTGGCCAAGGGACAGAAGTAAATTTTTCAGTTGAAAACAAATTCAAATCTCCTTTTTATTCCTTTTCAGCGCCACACATATAGCCAGTTACTACTGCCAAGACGTTTCTGTTTTTAGCTAGAGCTGATGTCACAGTAAGCTTTAGTAAGAAAAGTACAGGTGAGGGAACAGGGCAAAAACACTGTCCGCTCCTGCCACCGTTTCAGCTTGCATCTATCCAGAGGGGCTTCCCAGATACACAGTGTTCTTGCACCAAACCTCGAGGTTAGGGCTGGCAAGATGGCTCAGTGGGTAAAAGTGCTTGTCCGGAGGCCTGGCTCTCCAGGTTTGATCCCTGGGACCTGTGTAAATGTGGACGGAGAAAACCAACTCCACATGTCCGCTGACCACCACAGGCACACTGTGACATGAGTGCACCCCCATATCATCACACAGGATGAGAAGAAATAAGATTTATAGATTATTTAAAATGAGAAGTTCTAGATGAATAGCACATCCTAGCTAACTGAGCATGCATGTGGGTAATTTTCAGGACTGTGAAACTTTAAAGATGACATGCAATATGAAAGACAACATATACAAAGCACCATATGCAAGAGATGAAGAAAATGGGGTTTTTCTTTTAAATATCTTCATATAATCTATATTACCTATGATGAACAACAAAATCAAGCCAAAATCATCCATACCACTCTTTTACTGGTAAATTAAAGGTAATTTCTTGCCAGTGTCTCTGAGCTTCATAATCACCAAACATAGGAGGTTTTCCAGCACCTAAAACAAAAAGAGGATAAAAATGGACTTTCAGCACATGAGGATTTTTTTTTCCTTATAAAAATGTCCTATATTACAGGGGCAATGCAAGCCAGGGAAAGAACACAGGAGTATCGAAGTCAGAGATGAGGCCTGAACCCAGTACTGCTCGTCACCAAGTGACCACGTGATGGGCAAGTTCCTTACCCTCCCTAAGTCATGAGCCACACAGTCTACTCAGAGAACTGCTAGAGCAAATACCAAACAAGAGTAAACAGCCAGTACAGAGCCTAGCATAGCAGACACTCAGTAAGCAGGGCCACTGTAGCACCACCCAGCTATTATCAATACAGGTATCTATGATTGGGTTTTGTTTTTGTTTTTCAATTATATTTGCTAGCTGTGATGGTGCACACTTTTTTTGTTTTGTTTTGTTTGTTTTGTTTTCTTTTTTTAGAGACAGGGATTCTCTGTGTAGCTTTGCACCTTTCCTGGATCTCGCTCTGTAGACCAGGCTGGCCTCGAACTCAAAAAGATCTGCCTGGCTCTGCCTCCCGAGTGCTGGGATTAAAGGCGTGCACCACCACTGCCCGGCTAATAGTGCACACTTTTAATCCCAGTACTGGGGAGACAGGCAGGATGATCTCTATGAACTCAATGCCAGTATGGTCTACATAGTGAGTTCTAGGCCAGTCAGGGATACACAGTGAGACTCTATTTCAAATAAATAAACAAAACCAAAAAAACCAACAACATTTTTTAGTGTGTGTGTGTGCATGTGTGTAACGTGTAGAAGTCAAAGGCAAGTCTCAAGAGAGGATCTTTCCTGCCACCTTATGGGATCCAGAGATGAAACTCGAGTCATCCAGCATGCATGAAAGCACCCAATGATTCATCTTGCCAGCCACCAGGTTTACTTTTATTTCATGAGAAGAACTGTCACCAACACTGTGGTCTGAATATGAAATGTCACCGATAGGCTCAGGTTTGAGCACATGGTCCACAGCTGGTGGAGCTGTTTTGGAAGGCTGTGGAACATTTCAGAGGTAGAGACTTGAGGAAGTGGGTCCCTGGGCCAGGGCCTCAAGGCTTGCTGGCCAGAGTCCCTCCAGTTCTCCACTCTTCCCAAGTGGGGATGCAGTGTGAGCAGCCTTCTCCCACTCCGCTGCAGTGGCATCCCACAGACCCTCAAACTGGAGGGAGATAAACCCTTCTCCCACGTAGTTTCTGGTCAGGTATTTGGTCACAGTAAGAAGAAAAGTAACAACACAAATACTTCATGAAAATACCATAAATTAACAACAAATATCTGCATTTACAAACTAAAAATAAAAGCTTAAGTTCGAACACAGAATAAAAACAGGCTATGTATTGACAAAGGTCAGCCTGTACTATCAAATGATTTGTATAAATACTCAAAGGCTGGTGAGATGTCTTAGCAGCTAAAGGAATTTGCCACCAAACCCGAGGCCAAACCCTAGAACCCACATGCAAACCAGAGAACCAACTACTAAGTTGTCCTGACTTCCAAATGCCAAGCAATGTAGCACATGCAACACACATAATAAATAAGCAAAGAAATGTTTAAAAAACACAACAGCTTGTAATTTGCTTTTTATAAATAAGGGATAATAAACCTTTAATAACTAACATGTATGTTGTAGTGCTAAATACAATAATCCTATGAGTTAATTGTTATGACGTTCCCTATTCAAAGGCTAGGGAAGAGGAAATGTTCACTAAAGTAGTCAAAAAGCAAGGAAGATATAAACCCAGCAGGTTGGCTCTAAAACCCATTCTTCTTGTTTTGTCTTGAACCTTTTTTTTTTAAAGAAGTAAGTTATTTTAAATGGTTTGTTTTTATTTTATGTGCATTGGTGTTTTCCCTAAGTGTGTGTCTGTGTGAAGGTGTCTGATCCCCTGGAACTGGAGTTACAGACAGTTGTGAGCTGCCATGTGGGTGCTGGGAAGAGCAGCCAATGCTCTTAATCACTGAGCCTTCTCTCCAGCCCCTAAAACCCATTCTTAACTCCTACCCTATCATGCCCACATAGATGACAAATCTCTATGGCACATACTAAACACCCTATTTAACTAGCAGTTGACTACTGAACTGTGAGGAAGCCCAACAAGGTACAATAGAGTCACAGGTTCTTAAGTCAGCAAATAAGGTAGAAATCAAAATAGCCCTATATACTTCTAACCCAGTCAGTAGGTGTCACACTGAATAGTAACAGACATGCCCATTGAATTCCAACCCAGATTTTCTCCAGATTTAATGAAGTTGGTTGCTTACATTAGTTGGCTGCATCCTACCAATACTCTTTCAATGCTGGAATTTATAAGGAGACAATCTGTAATGACCAGAAAAGCTGACTAACAGCTCTACAGCATGTACACTGAGAACAGACTAACAAGTCTACAGCGTGTTCACTGAGAACAGACTAACAAGTCTACAGCGTGTACACTGAGAACAGACTAACAAGTCTACAGCGTGTTCACTGAGAACAGACTAACAAGTCTACAGCGTGTACACTGAGAACAAACTAACAAGTCTACAGCGTGTACACTGAGAACACACTAACAAGTCTACAGCGTGTACACTGAGAACAGACTAACAAGTCTACAGCGTGTACACTGAGAACAGACCAACAAGTCTACAGCGTGTACACTGAGAACAGACTAACAAGTCTACAGCGTGTACACTGAGAACAGACTAACAGCTCTACAGCATGTACACTGAGAACAGACTAACAGCTCTACAGCGTGTACACTGAGAACACACTAACAAGTCTACAGCGTGTACACTGAGAACAGACTAACAGCTCTACAGCGTGTACACTGAGAACAGACTAACAGCTCTACAGCGTGTACACTGAGAACAGACCAACAAGTCTACAGCGTGTACACTGAGAACAGACTAACAAGTCTACAGCGTGTACACTGAGAACAGACCAACAAGTCTACAGCGTGTACACTGAGAACAGACTAACAAGTCTACAGCGTGTACACTGAGAACAGACTAACAAGTCTACAGCGTGTACACTGAGAACAGACTAACAAGTCTACAGCGTGTACACTGAGAACAGACCAACAAGTCTACAGCGTGTACACTGAGAACAGCCTAACAAGTCTACAGCGTGTACACTGAGAACAGACCAACAAGTCTACAGCGTGTACACTGAGAACAGACTAACAGCTCTACAGCGTGTACACTGAGAACAGACTAACAGCTCTACAGCGTGTACACTGAGAACAGACTAACAGCTCTACAGCGTGTACACTGAGAACAGACTAACAGCTCTACAGAGTGTACACTGAGAACAGACTAACAAGTCTACAGCGTGTACACTGAGAACAGACTAACAGCTCTACAGTGTGTACACTGAGAACAGACTAACAAGTCTACAGCGTGTACACTGAGAACAGACCAACAAGTCTACAGCGTGTACACTGAGAACACACTAACAAGTCTACAGCGTGTTCACTGAGAACAGACCAAGTCTACAGCGTGTACACTGAGAACAGACTAACAGCTCTACAGCGTGTACACTGAGAACAGACTAACAAGTCTGCAGCGTGTACACTGAGAACACACTAACAAGTCTGCAGCGTGTACACTGAGAACAGCCTAACAAGTCTACAGCATGTACACTGAGTAACTGGTACAAGAAATGACCCACAGTACAATCACCCTTGTACAAAAGCAAGCCTTGTCTCAAAAGAACAAACAAAATCACTTCAAATCCCAACCCCCATGAGTCTCCCTTTACAAATTAAAATATAAATGGTGAATTATTGACTTCTCATGATATGTATACTTTCCATATCATGTTTGTGATATGCCTATACTACTTCCTGATTGATAACCAGGTAGAAATTTTAGTTACTAGAACAGAAAAAAAATGTTTTCCATTAATCAAACTAAGCAACATGTTAAGCATGTAGTAATTTAAAAAGGTACTCAATTAAACTCAACAGGAGAAAAAATAATTTCTTCTAATAATTTCTTAAAAGAAAAGAATTCTTCCAAGAGTTTTTACATTTTTTCCGTGTGTCATCATGGATATGTGTGTGTGAATCCAGTCTAATGAATACAACCACTGGATATATGGCTTCTTTGGAAAGAGAAATCAGTTATTTTTTTTCTTTTTTCAATGCCCTTAGGATAATAAAGTCAGAAAAGATTGCAGGTAATTTCCTATACCTGAAAAAAAAAAAAATCAAACTATCTAGATTTCCTAAAACTACTCTAGAAATCGTGTGGTCGACGTGGGAGAATTGATTACACTCTCTAGCAAACAGAAGAATGGATAACGACTCTTCAGGGTTGGGAAACAAGTTTTTATCCAGAGTCTGACCTACTTCAATAAATTCAGCTGACACTGGCTATGAAATTAGTACTTAAGTTTTTGAAACTGCTAAAGTGCCCTCAAAGCAACCTAGAAGGACAGCCCAACTGTGCCTGTGGGAGCTTCACTCAGAAGGGCAAAAGAATTCCTTCCACAGTGATTAATTCTACAAACTTACTCACATGAGATTCAGAGCCACGTAAAGAAAACATACCAACGTGCATTTACAGAACCTCAATTTTGTCATGCTCCCAGGAAAATGGGACTAAGTCGCACTAAAAAAATGTTCATTTTATTAATTGCCAAATTATTCAAAACTGTGTTTAAATATAAAGAATAAGCAGCCTGTGGACAATATATACTTTACAGTCAAGCTTTAAACATTCTAAGAGAAGAGTTGACTACATTTTCCCACGGATTTCTTCTTGTTTCTGGTAAGAACATGTAACCTTTCACAAACAGTAATGGATAAGTCAAATGAAATCAACCAATTAAATCACATGCTGTCATGCTTTTTAATAACAGATATTTTGCAAAAAATGATTTTTTTTTAATGATGCTTTCCTTAGCTACCAATATGACTTGGAGTGGGGGTTCGAGGGAAGTAACAAAAAACAGCCTTCCTCAACAAAGTGTTGCTATAGTACTTTGGGTGGAATGTAAGAGGCATTGTAAATCTCTTTAAGCAATGACTAACTGGCTGGGCGGTGGTAGCGCACACCTTTAATCCCAGCACTTGGGAGGCAGAGGCTGGTGGATCTCTGTGAGTTTGAGGCCAGTCTGGTGTACAGAGTGAGATCCAGGACAGCTATGGATGGATACACAAGGAAACTTGTCTTGAAAAAAAGTAAAAAAATAAAATAAAATAAAAAGAAAGAAAAAAGAAATGGCAAACTGGTACTAAAATAAGAAACTGTCTATTACCCACAGGTCGTTTAATGCAACCTACAATATTCAGTATCTTAGTTCTGTGAAAAAGCAACACTAAAAATATAAAGAGAATACATTTTAGAAAAAACTGAATTACAATAATGTATTTAAGTAATTTGCCCAAATGATATACACATTTCAAAGAAAGAATAATTCAGTAAAATGAACGCACACTAACCTGAACTTCTATACTTGAGTATGGCAGGGATTGGGACATACTACCAAAGTGACACAACGCAGAGATTAAGCTGTGGTCATCTGAAAAACAGCAGGCGCGAACAGGGCTCTCTGACCTTTCTCCAAAGCAAGTCACAAGACCACCAAGCAAGAAGTGCTCTGCGGTATCCTTATCTCCAAAACATGGAAGGTCAGGCCAGAAGAACCAAGAAACTATCAGCTTATATCCATCCCTTCTGACTGTTTCTGGTTGTTGTTGGAGACAGCATTTCAGGTAGCTCAAGCTGATCTTTTAAATTCTCCATAACTAAGGATGACCTTGAACTCCTGATTCCCCCCACACCCCGTTTCCACCTTTCCAGTGCTTAGACTATAGGCATGCACCAACACACCTAGATTATGTGGCAACAGGGATTGAACCTGTCTACACTTTATCAGACCTAGTGCAAAACACTCAGGTTTAAGTGTTCCTTTGGTTTCTCATTTCCTCATGAAGGCCCCCATGTCACATAAAGCTTACAATGAACACATATGCACGGTTATCTGCTAACTTGTCTTTTGTTACACATACTCTAACAGACAACTTAGAAGGGTTGAAGGAAAAGAGTTTTTTCCTCTCTAACAAATGCTTCTTAATTACACTCTTTTTTTTTTAAAGATTTATTTATTTATTATGTATACAGTATTCTGCCTGCATGTGTCCCTGCAGGCCAGAAGAGGGCACCAGATCTCATTGCTGGGAATAGAACTCAGGACCTCTGGAAGAGCAGACGGTGCTCTTAACCACTGAGCCATCGCCTCAGCCCTTAATTACTCTCTTAAAAGAAAATAAATCAAAAGGAAAATAAAATATATCTATTTAAAAAATTAAAATAAAGAAATTAAATATGTATTTATTGTATGTGTGCGTTGAGTAGATGTAGGTATACATGTGTACCATGTGCATGTAGGTGCCTTTGGAGGCCAGGAGAGGGCATCAGACGAGAACTGGATACACAGGCAGTTTGGGAGCTGCACAGTGTGGGTCCTGAGAACTAAACCCAGGCTCTCTGCAAGAGCAACAAGATCTTGACTGCTGAGACAACTCTCCATCTCCCATGCATAACTCTCTTAGCTCTCCATGTCACAGTTCTTCACACGTGGGCTGGAGATCGAGGGTGATACTGTACATGCCTAGCATGTTTGACCTTGGGTTCCATCCTCAGCATTGAAAAAAGAAAAAGAAAAAAAAAAATGTCTTGGGGCTTGGGAGACAGTTTGGTTGGCAAAGTGCTTACTGCACAGGTCTGAGGACCTGCATTTGGATCCCCAGCACCCACATAAAAAAGCACAGCATGTTAGCACATGCCCTTCTCCTCACTAACCTAGAGAAGCTGCTGTTCTGTGGCTATAGCTAGGCAACTAGGAGGCTTACACGGCTCTTCCACACCCCTCCTTCATTGTTTGTTTGCCTGGTAGCTGACCTGAACCACAGAACCAGCTCATGAAACAATACTAATAAATGTGGTGAGCACACTGTGGTCACTGCACACAGATGACCCCATTTACCTCTCCTCACCCGGCTCCAAAGTCCAGGAAGCTTCTAGAACCAGCTCATAAAAACAAGTAGGATCTTAGGAACTTCCTGCCCTCACAACACACACACACACACACACACACACCCCTGTATTCCTCCATCTTTCAAAAATGTCTCAGCTTTGTTTCATGTTTTCTTATATCAGAATGTTCTTCTTCTCACCCATTTTCTACCTAGTAAAATTTTTTAGAATATACTTAAATGTGACATACATACCAATATTTTCTCATCTGAATTAGAAAATATCTAGAGTTCTAAATCTAGCCGCTTTATACTGCACTAAATTTTAATGTAATATATATTTGTATACCCACCCTGCCCACCAAACTGTTACCTTCTCTAGGGAAGATACCATTTATCATTCTTTATTATTAAAGCCTTAATAATTACCAAGACCTCTTTTTGGTTACACAGCAAACAATATTTTGGAGGGTTTCTTTGTTTTTTTAAGACAAGCTCCCATAAAAACCAGGTTGACCTTGCACTCACTATGTAGCCAAAGCTGGCCCTGAATTCCTGACCCTCCTGCCTCTACCTCCTGAGTGCTGGGATTACAGGTGTGTGACCACACCTGGCCATATTTGGAGTTAAATAATCTAATGTGATGATCAATAGAGGTATGGCATGGCCATAAATGTGCTGATTCTATTCCTACATAAAGTACAGCTCATACTTACTACTTGAACTAATCCCTCAAGCAATTTGCTGAAACATATATTGACAGTCCTACCTTGTATAAAAGCTCAGGAAAATTAAATAACTTCCCCAAGATTAGGCAACTAACAGATAAACTAAGATGTGAGCCCGTGCTTTACTGCACAACATTTAAGTGATTGTTAACTGCCTCAACAGTACGAATTAACCCGAGGAGCAGGGGTGGAAGAAAGGTTGCTGGACACAATCAATACACCACTGTGTAGGTGTGCAACTGACACAACCATCATAATACAAATCCACCTTTTTTCACTGTCTTGGTCAGGTCCTCTTCTTTCTCAGAAGCCTCAGGGCAGAGTCAAAAACGTGCTGGCTGGAATCAAGTGATCACATCCGAGCCCAGCTGTCGTTTACATGTGCATGTGCATCTGTGTACCATGTGTGCACGGTGATGTGCACGGTGCCCAGGGAGGCCAGAGAGGACGCTGGACCCTCTGCAAACGGAGTTACAGCCAGTAACTGGCACCATGTGGGTGCCAGGAACCAGGCTCAGACCGCTTGAGCCTTTCACCAGTTCACTGCTTTCCTTATTCCAAATTCTGTTTAGATTTATTAGCACAGGCAAATGTTAATTGCAGGCTAAGAACAAACGGTCCAGTATCAAAACCCCTACTCTTCAGGACTGTCCCACTTTGTGGTTGTACATTTAGATATTACCCCATCTTCAGTGGTTCTAATAAATCCTAAAGAAAACAGTGCCAAACATCAGTCAATGCTCAAAATACACTGGCATTGCTACTAGTGTTATTGTCTCTTTACCGCTGACCTTTTTCCTACAATCTCTTTTATAACCAGAAAATTCTTCTACAACCAAATTTGCCTAGATAAATGGACAGCCAAAATTCCAGCCATTTCTAAAAATGGTTATGCTGAGCTACATCTTGGTTCTTTTTTCTCCCTAGGCTACTTCTCCACAGACATAATCAATTTTTCATTGTTTTTTTTTTTCCTTCCATTTTTACTCCTCTTGATACCATTTTAAATCTCAATTCTTTTTAGTTTTTTAGGTCACTCTAATACCACATACTGATAACTATATGCTCTTATGTTTCTGTGCAAGTCCCTATTCTCTAAAACACTGTACCCATTGCATTTGTCTAGCGAATTCTGATTAATCCCTCAAACCCCCAAGTCAGCCATCTTATCTGAAATCTGCACTGGTGCACTTTCATCAGCCACCTCTCTGTTACCCTTGTGCCTCAAACATAGCTAAATCTTAATTACCACACCCTACAGTGACTGTCAATTTGAAACTGGGTTCTATGACATCAATATTCACTTTCTATCTCTCACACCTAGCACATGTGATACCTGCAACAAAGCTCTAACTACGTACCTGCAGAATTAAATCTGCTATCCGCCCCGGTCTGCAGGGTCACACTCCATCCCTCATTTGAATCTTACTCTTCTCCACTGTTCTTTACTCTCTCAATCTAGTCATGTGTCTTCTCTACCACAAACAACATCAACAAACAGAAACCTCTGTCTCTGAGACCATCTTCAAGGACTAGCTCAAGACATAATCACACCTCCATCTGTCATATTCCAAGCTAGAATACATTTTTGTTTGCTCATATCACAAAGTATGTTTACCTCTTACACTTTCTCATTATAATTAGATGCATGGATTTTTGCTTGTTTTTTTGAGACAGGGTTTCTCTGTGTAGCTTTGCGCCTTTCCTGGAACTCACTCTGTACACCAGGCTGGCCTCGAACTCACTGAGATCCACCTACCTCTGCCTCTCGAGTACTGGGATTAAAGGCATGTGCCACCACTGCCAGGCGCATGTATTTTCTTAATCATAACAATAAAGCCTCAAATTCTTCTGTTTCAGTCAAAAACTATAAACAGTTATCAAAACAAGCAGAAGCAACCCACTGAGGAATATTTACCAGTCTTTCCAAGAGGAAAAGTGCACTACCTGAGTAAGGGTGAAGAGAAACCGTCCACCGCACTGTGAGTCCTATCAAGACCGCTAGTGTCATCCAAGACCAGTTCTCCATGGTTCTCCAAATTCGGGGAGGAAAACAAAAGCCAGGACCAGAGCACGTCCCACAAAGTCAGTCACTTGTCTCCTTGTTCAAGGCAATGTCACCATCTCTGAAGTTAGGAGCTTGAGAGGATTTTAAAGGATGCTTTGCTTCAGCACAGTGAAAAATCAATCATGTCTGTGGAAATAGCCTGGGGAGAAAACAGCACCAAAATGTCAATCAGCACAGCACCGTAACAATGAACCCATGAAGTCACAGAAAAATGGGAGCTTAGGGGAGAGGGAGGGGGCTGGGAGAGTTCCAGAGGCTCTTTATCCCCGGGATTGAGAAATACACTGCAGAAGGCAATTCTCTGTAAAATGTGATGCAATCATGTCTAAAGATAAGACAGACAAAGGCCTGCTTTTACAGGTGAGAATTTCTGAAAGGTGTGGATAGTGGCACAATCTATGTACAGCAGGTAAAGGCACACACCTGCAATCCAATTCTAGCACTTGGGAAACTAAGACATGACCCTTGACGACACAGAGTCCACAAAGGTGGGAAAAGGTAAGTTATCTTTGGTACAAAGGAGGAGTTCTGCCTTTGCGTTTAGTTTAGCAAAGCCTCCCATTGATGGAATCTCTCGTCTTGTTTTCAGTTCCTTCTTCCACACCATCTGTGTGCTAACCATACACATCAACTCCCATGGGAGGGAAATAAACTTTCCAAGACAAATAGGTAAGAACGGCCCAAGTCTTAGAAAAGAACCTCAAAAAAAATTAAAATAATAATTAATCACCTAGAAAATTCTTTTTCTGCCCTTTCTATTTTTTTCTTTAGGTTGAATAGTATGTTTTGTTATATTGTTTCTGAGGTACTGGGGATGGAACCCAGGGTCTCACACACACTAGTACGTACTCACATCACAGAAGCATATCCCAGACCAGGTTGGTAGGCTAAAAGCAAGAAGCAAATGGACACCTTCCTTTGAAAAATTATGAGCCATATTAAACATATTCAGAGAAATACATATAAGTCAGTTGAGAACTTTTGCAGAAAATTGGAACAGTCTACCTCTTAAGCTTAAATTACTTTCTTACTTAAAAATATCAGGGGCTAAAGAGATGGCTGAGCAGTTAGGTGTGCTTGACGCTCTTGGAAAGGAAACGAGTTCATCCCCAGCATCCAAAGCAGGCAGCTCACAGTTACCATAACCCCAGTCCAGAGGACCTGATGCCCTCTTCTGGCCTCTGTGTGCACTGACATGCTTGACATACACTCACACAGCCATAGCCACACACATAAAAATAAAAATGAAAACATCATAAAATTAATACTGAAAATATTGTAATTTTTCAATTTTTTAAAATATCAAAAGCAAGGCCAGAACTAATGGAGCCTGGGTAGAATGACTCAAGGCACAGAGTGAGGCTATATAACTCCATTCTTATGGCTTGACTGACATACACTCCCTTCCTCTTCACTGTGATGCTCCTCTGGTCCTTCGACTGCTCCTAAAACTGCCATCTCAGAGGCAAGACAAAATTAAAGTGAAATCACTTTCCAATGCTGACTCTGGATTTGGCACAAGTTCGAGACCACTATAATCCATTCAGATGCTTTTTTGGTCTATCACTAAAGTCTCTTCTAGCAACATGTGCTGTAGTTAGACTTGCAATGTTATATTTCTGCTAGGACACTTCAAACTTATAATTCAAATGCTAATTCCTGGGTAGCTTAAATACATATATATTTAACTAATTAACATGTAGTTTAAATAATATTCTAAGAAGGAAACTGAAATCACTGATGGTCATAGTTAGCTTAAGCTGTCAACCTGACATAAACCTAAAGTTACCCAGGAAGAGGGAACCTCAGCTGAAGAACTGCTCAGATCAGACTGGCCTATGGCCATGTCAGTGAGACATTTTCTTACTTGCTAATTAATTAATATAGAAGGGCTCTCTCAGTTAGGGTTCCTATTGCTGTGAAGAGACACCATGACCACGGCAACTCTTGTAAAGGAAAACATTTCATTGTGGTGGCTCACTTACAGTTCAGAGGTTCAGCCCATTACCATCATTGTAGTACATGGCTATGTGCAGGGAGACATGGTGCTGGAGAAGCAGCTGAGAGTCCTACATCTTGCAGGCAACAGGAAGTGGTCTGTGTATCACACTGAGCACAGCTTAAGGATATGTGAGACCTCAAAGCCCACTTCCACAGTGACACACTTCCTCCAACAAGGGCACACCTACTCTAACAAAGCCACACCTCCTAATAGTGTCACTCCCTTTGGGGGGCTATTTTCTTTCAAACCACCACAAGGGCCCAGGCCACAGCGGGCTGGGCCATCTCTAGGCAGGTGGGCCTGGACCTGCATAAGAAAGCTAGTTGAGCAAGGCAAGAAGCAGGACAGCAAGCAACAGAATGGTTTCTGGCCATTCTGGCTCCTCCCTTGGTTTCCTTCAATGACAGACTATAACCTAGAAGATAAAACAAACCTTTTTTCCTAGTGTTGGCTATGGTTATGGTGGTTACCACAGCAACACAAAGCAAACTAGGAGACTGATAACAACCAGGTTAAATGAACTGTCCTTGTTCTAGATCATTTTATTTAAGTACTTCCTCAGGAAACTTAATGAAAACAAGCCTATTGATGATACTGAATCATCAGCATCATGAACTTACACACAATGGAATGCTTAACAGGTATCATGCTGACTCAGCTTGCCAAGAAGCGCACAATGGTGGAAGACACAGCTATGTAACAGATGGAACACTCAAATCCAAAGTTTTCTCTAGCAACTATGGAGTAAACCATACTCTAGACTAAGAATTTATAAATTCAAGTACATACTTAAATGTGGGGGGGAAAAATCAAGTGTATGCTGACTGACTAGTTGGCAACAGATAACTAGTGTGTGCTGACTGACTAGATGGCAATAGATAACTAGTGTGTGCTGACTTACTAGATGGCAACAGATAACAAGTGTGTGCTCACTGACTAGATGGCAACAGATAACTAGTGTGTGCTGGGTGACTGAAGGCAACAGATAACTAGTGTGTGCTGACTGACTGAAAGCAACAGATAACTAGTGTGTGCTGAGTGACTAAAGGCAACAGATAACTAGTGTGTGCTGACTGACTGAAGGCAACAGATAACTAGTGTGTGCTGAGTGACTAAAGGCAACAGATAACTAGTGTGTGCTGAGTGACTAGAAGGCAGCAGATAACTACTAACAATCTTCAGTTTTGCTGGACCTCTGAATGATGGCCCATTTACCAGGCACTCTGATTATTAGCAAGAAAACTTGACTAGGAGTGTAGCCCAGTGGTAAAATGCATGCTCTATACACACAGGTCCTAGGTCCCCACATCAGTAAGTAGATAAACACTGGAAAAAACATCTATGAGGACAGGTGTCCAAACACAAATGGGCTTCTCATGAAGGAAATGCCTCTTCAAGTTCAAACAGAAATTGATTGACTATTGGATGGTAATATTTTAGATTGGAGACAGGGTCTTGCTTTGTTGCCTAGACTGGCCACAAACTTGGGATCCTCCTGCCGATTTCTAAGCACTAGGATTATAGGTATAGACTACACCTGACTTCATAGGAATGTTTAAGATTTATTTTATTTTTTAATTGTGTGTGTGTGTGTGTGTGTGTGTGTGTGTGTGTGTATGCGCATATGTCCATAAGAGTAGGGGTGCCTGGAGCTGTGAGCTGTCTGTTGTGAGCTGCCTGACACAGATGCTGGAATTTGAACTCAGGTCCTCTGCAACAGAAGCATTCTTAACTGCTGAGCCATCTCCCCAGCCCTCCAGGAATATTTTTATTAGTTTGTTTGTTTGTTTGTTTGTTTGTTTTTGGAGACAGCGTTTCTCTGTGTAGCTTTATGCCTTTCCTGGAACTCACTAGGTAGCCCAGGCTGGCCTCGAACTCACAGAGATCCTCCTGGCTCTGCCTCCCGAGTGCTGGGATTAAAGGCATGTGCCACCACCACCCGGCCCTCCAGGAATATTTTTAAGAATTGGAATAAGCCGGGTGGTGGTAGCACATGCCTTTAATCCTAGCACTCAGGAAGCAGAGGCAGATGGACCTCTGAGTTCGAGACCATCCTGGTCTACAGAGCAAGTCCCAGGACAGCCGCACTGCATATTGAGACTGTGTCCCGAGAAAGAAAAACCAGGAGTTGGAACAAATGGCTAATTCCCATAGTGTCTTCTAAGTCTGCGTCAGTGTCTCCCAGCCACAAAGACATGTTGGCACTTTTGCAGAGCCTCTGAATGAAGGAAATGGTTGGGCCTTCACACCGGAAACACGTGGAAAACCCCAGGACCATCCTTCTTACATCTGCACACTTCAAACCCTTACACTCCAGCCAGGGCCTTTTCTATCGAGCCTCTGCCTGCCTCTGGCTGCATCTCCCTGCACACCTCCTGCCAGAGGTCTTCCTTCTGGGAGAACCTGTCAAGTTCACCCAGGCTCAGTTTCTCTTCGCGCTTGTAACTCAGCTCCCCGTCAACCTTCTGGTATAAAGTCATCGCTTGGAAAGATCAGCCCTCCCTAGTGAAAATTTCCTCCCAGGTTGTACGGTTGCCTTCTTTTCCCGCCTTTTCACCATCAGAACTGTATTTTCACAACACAGCTATTTTTTTTTTTTTTTTTTTTTTGGAGACAGGATTTCTCCGTGTAGTTTTGGTGCCTGTCCTGGCTCTCGCTCTGTAGCCCAGGCTGGCCTTGAACTCACAGAGATCCGCCTGGCTCTGCCTCCCGAGTGCTGGGATTAAAGGGGTGCGCCACCACCGCCCGGCCCACCGCACATTCTCATATGCATGCTTTTGAATAAAAGAAGGTTGACACCGAAGAACCTGGGACTCCACCTTCGTCTCAGGGCTTCTGTGGCTGTGATAAACACCACCATAAGCAACACAGGGAGGAAAAGGCTTATTCATTTATACTTCCAGGTCACAGTCTATCATGAAGGGAAGGCAAGGAGGAGCTCAAAGCAGGAACCTGAAGACAGGATCTGGAGCAGAGGCCATGGAGGAGTGCTGCTTACTGGCTTGCTCTTCATGGCTTGCCCAGCCTTGCGTGCTTTCTTATACAATCAGGACTACTTGCCCAGGGGTGGTACTGTCCACAGGGAACTAGGCCCTCTTCCATCAATCATCAATCAAGAAAATGCAGCCAGACATAGTGACATATGCCTTTAATCCCAGCACCTGCGAGGCAGAGGCAAGTGAGTTCGAGGTAAGCATGTTCTACAGAGCAAGTTCCAGGACAGCCAGGAATACACAGAGGAAACCCTGTCTCAAAAAAAAAAAAAAAAAAAAAAAAAAATTTAAAAAGAAAGAAAATGCACCACCGACTTGCCCATAAGCCAAATTTTCTTAACTGAAGTTCCAATTGACTCCAGCCTGTGTCAGGTTGACAGTAAACTAGCCAGCACACCTGTATAGTGTTACAAATTAATAAAAAAGTTACCTAAGGGTTGGGGGAAGGGGTCTCTGGGGAGGTCTTCTGAGATGCTATGAATATTGTCATTTGAACTGAGTAACAGTAAAAAATACGTGTTCACTAGGTGGATAAATGAATGAGCAACAATTTCCAGTACAGTTATCTACAGTATGGTTCTGCAAGTACACTATTCCAACAAAACAGCTTAGGAGAAAATGTCATTTACTTGTCATTTAGAACAAAAATGCTATAAGAGCAAAGATCCTGAGTCCTTTCAGTGCCCTTCCACACTTAGGCCAGAGTCGGCAGAAAGCAGGAACACAAATAGAGGGGACTGGCAGGGAGGAGATGGGGGAGGAAGACTAACTTTTCAGAGTCCTATGTGGTTATTCAGTGAGACACAGGGTCTCACTGTGTTGCTCTGGCTAGCCCAGAACTAGCTTAAGTAGACCAGGCTAGCCTGGAACTCCAAGAGTTGCGCCTGCCTCTGCTTCCCAGTGCCACCACACCCTGCGAGCCCTGCGATTTCCCCCTCAAACTGTGAGTGCTGTTCCCCCTGCAAGCACACAGCTCAGCAACTTTCTCAGGAAGCCACATGCAGGCAGCTCACGCCATCACGACAGGGGCCAGGCCGCCGAGTCCCAGAGTGCTCCACTTCCCTAGCCGAGGGACAGACCCGCAAGACCGAGGGGACAGGATCACCGGGGCCACCTCGGCCAGGCCGCGTCACCACTGCAGGACGGCCGCACGTCGAGGGCCCCGGGGCTGGACGAGGCCTTACGACAAGCCCCCGAGTCGTCCGCTCGCACGGGCTGCCGGCACCTCCCCGCGCCTGCCGGCTCCAGACCTCGGCAACCCCAGACTCTTACCAGCTACTACTAGCCTCCGGAATTGGCGCCCGTGGAGATCCAGTGAAGGCGCCTGCGCACTCGCCGCCCACGGTGCAAGCGCGCCTCCGTCGCCCATCACGGAAGCGAGCCCGTAAGGCGAGGGGGCGGGGCGGTGGGTGGGGAGGTGGGAGGGGCTCGACGGGGCGGGGCGGGGCGGTGGGCGGGGCTCGGCGAAGCGGGGCGGGGCAGGGCTGCCGCCTTTCCGCAGGCGGGGTCCAAGCCCTGGAACCCGAGAAGCTTGGCGACTGGGGTTAGGTCAGGGGCAGGTGGAAAGCCCCTTGCTCCTCTTTCCCGGGATCGTGGCCAAGGCCCGAGCGGCTGCCTAGCCCATGGATTCCTGTGAGGGGCGGCTCCTGCCCGCTTCGCTGTGGCGAGCCCTTGGTCAGTCCTCACCCTAGGCGGCAGGTCTTCCTCCTGGGCCAGTGCCCTCTAGCAGCCACCAAGCCAGCCTACTTTCTTGGAGCTAAGCAAAGACTAGTGCCTAGTAAGACTGGGAAGTCGCTTCTAGTGAGAAACCGTTTCTAGAGCCTCTGGCTGAGCCTATGAGCAGCACTAGCCTGAGATTGTCACCAATCTCAGCCCTTGGGAGGCTGAGGCAAGAGGATCAGGAGTTAGAGCTACAAAACGAGACCCTGTTCCTGACCCGCCAAAAAAAAAACCCAGCTCCATCCCAGAATAGACTCTGCATGCCCCATCAGGCAACTTGAATCGCCTGTTCCCACATTTGCCAAAAATAATATTTCCCAGCTTCGGTCACCCTGCTCCTGAATTGTGCCATTCTATAGACACTAACTCCGATATAAGTAAAAACAAATATTTGGCTATTGCTAGGACTATTTTGTTTGAGGTGTGTGTCTGTGTGTGTATGTGTGCAGGTATGTGTACTTGTGTGTACTTATGGGGGCCAAAGACCGACGCTGGGGTCTTCCTCGATGCATCTCCACCTTATTTTTTGAGACAGCAGCGTCTCTCACTCAATCTGGAGTTCACCTGTTTGACTACACTGACTGGCCAGTGAACTCTAGGCATGTCTGCCTGTCTGCAAGTAGCTACCTCCAGGAGTTGAAGGCCAGTCTTGGCTACCCGAGATCTTATCTCACAAGAAAAAAAATTTACTATGGAAATATGACATGCTATAACCAAATCCCTGCTCTCACAATATTTAATTTTCTTTGAAAAGGACTTCCCATGCAAAAAAAAGATAGAAAGCAGTAGAAGGAAGTACACACTGTCACATTAGTGGTGTACACATTACAACCCACGGGAGTTAAGACAAGACTTGGGCTCCATGTAAACCATCAACTACCAGGAAATGCTTCTTCCTGGATGATCCACCTTGGCTTTGAAAGAAAAACTGGGTCTTTCCGTTCTGCTGCCGCCATGCCATCCAGACTGAGGAAGACCCGGAAACTCCGGGGGCCACGGCCACGGCCGCATCGGTAAACACGGCAAGCACCCAGGAGGCCGCGGGGGATGCTGGAGGCATACATCACCACAGGATCGAATTCGACAAATATCATCCAGGTTACTTTGGGAAAGTTGGTATGAGGCATTACCACTTAAAGAGGAACCAGAGCTTCTTTCCGACTGTCAACCTGGACACTGGTCAGTGAGCAGAGACGCGTCAACGCTGCAAAGAACAAGACTGGAGCTGCTCCCATCATCAATGTTGTGCAATCGGGCTACTACAAAGTTCTGGGGAAGGGGAAGCTCCCTAAGCAGCCTGTCATCGTGAAAGCCAAATTTTTCAGCAGAAGAGCTGAAGAGAAGATAAAGGGTGTTGGAGGTGCCTGTGTCCTGGTGGCTTGAAGCCGCCCAAGGAGGTTAATTAAATGCTAACATTTTCCAAAAAAAGAAAAAAAGAAAGAAAAACTGGACACAGGTAAAGAAAGCCAAGAGTGTGGGTGTCGGAATCTAGACAGTGGAAATGATTGACACCAGAATCACAGCAGCTGAAAAAGTGCAGAACATTTCTCCCTGCTTTCATGGTGGTTAGTGAATAAGAAAAGGTGGAGGAACTCTGAGCTGCAGGCTGTGGTGTTGAAATCATTCGGTGATCAGCAAAGGCCCGTTAAGTGACATTTAGCAGGGAGTCAAGTGTATACAGTGCTGGGCTAGAGAAAACTTAAACTGGTGATAATGGGTTAGATGAGTCAGAGGGAAAGGTGGAGGTCTCATAGTAATTCACAGCTAGACAAGGGTGAGAAGTAGAAAGGGTCAGAGCAAGAGGGAATATGTCCAGGTCTTTGTAACATACTAAGTGTGCAGAAGTGAAGTGAAAAGGAAGGGAGATTGAGGAATGGTTCCGAAGGTTTTGAGCTGGGAAGCTTGGAGCTACCTTGGAGGAAGATGCTATGCTATAGTGAATTTCATGTGTGACATCAACACAACAAAATAGTGATACTTGGGTGCCAGTTGTGAATCAGAACCCAGGGAAGAAGCTGGAGCTAAAGATAGATGAAATGTTTTTATTGCCGAAGAATGAGGGAGCTAATGGAGAAGTAGACAGCTGGACTTAAGTGACTGTATGTTCAACCCACAAGGAGAAAGATGAGCAGAGAAAGTATATAGCATGCTTATACATGTTGTGCAAAGCCCGGCTCGTCCTCAGCATGTCTGCACCTCCAGCTCTCCCCCACACCATGCCTGCTTCTGGCGGCCACCGTCTGTCTCTCCATCCACTCTGGGATGTAGCAGTTGACAACAGGCTCCCGAACTTTCTTTGTTCCTCGTTATCAGGATCTTGGGATAGCTTAGTCTCAATAGGTTCCCTCTCAAACTGGCATCCAGACATAGGCCTCTAAGACAGAAGAAGTGATAGAATAAACCTGTTCTCCTCTGCTGACCTCTGCCAAAAGCATCAGTGTGTCATGAGAACCCCAAAGACATTGAGGCTTGCAGGAACTATGGACTTGTCCTGTAAATAGGATGCCAGACTCTCAGCAGGGCCATCTGGTTTATCTTTTGGATGAGGTTTCTACTCCCTCTGCCCCCATGCCAGGAGCTGTACAGCCCAGCTCTGCGCTGTTTGCTGATTATTGTTCAGTTGACTTGGTTTCCTTTCACTATTCAACTGTCTTATCAGATACTTCATGGAGTGTGTGTGTGTGTGTGTGTGTGTGTGTGTGTGTGTGTGTGTGTGTATATTTGGGGTGTGAATGTGAATGTGTGATATGTGTGCGGTGTGTATGTATGTGTGGGGTGTGAGTGTATGTAAGTGTGAGATAAATGCGGGGTGAGTGTGTGTGTATGTGTGGGGTGTGGGATGTGTATATGTGTGGGGTGTGAGTGTGTGTAAGTGTGGGATACATGGGGAGTGAGTGTGTGTGTGTGTGTGTGTGTATGTGTGGGGTTGGGTGTGTGTGTGTATGTGTGAAGTGTGGGATGTATGTATGTGTGGAATGTGAGTGCGTATAAGTGTTGGCGCAAATGGGGAGTGAGTGTGTGAATGTGTGGGGTGTAAAGGGGTGAATGTATATGTGTGTGTGTCTTCACAGGCCAGAGGGAGAAAAAAGTTGCTCTAATACATTGTCTAAGGTTAGTTGGTCAGTTTTCAGGAATTTGTTTGTCTTTTTTTTTGCTCCTGTGTTTGTAAGTTTCCCCTTTTATATATTCTTATATTGTTTTTAAACCATTTTCACATTTGACAGGCAGTGGTGGCACACGACTTTAATCCCAGCACTCAGGAGGCAGAGGCAGGTGGATCTCTGTGAGTTCAAGGCCAGCCTGAACTACAGAGTGAGTTCCAGGAAAGGCTCCAAAGCTACACAGAGAAACCCTGTCTCAAAAAACCAAAAATAAATTCATATTTAATAACTGAAAACAATAACAAATCCCCTCAACATGTGAATGAGTAAATTTTGTTATACTCAGAATACTATTAGCAAAATAAATCAGTAACACACAAGTCCAGGTTAGGGTCGCAATAATTATTTCTGGTGAAAGGATCCACAAAAGAAGGGGCATTGTAAAAATTCATTTACATTTCTATAAATGACACCACTCTATGGTGGCAAAGATCAGCACTGTCCTGGGCTGTGGAGAGACAGTGGGAAGGGCAAAAGAGGACCATGTCAGTGAGCACAAGGAAACAGTTGTGAGTGACCTGTGTGTTTGTTTTCTGATAAGAACTTTGGGAATCTGCTTATAGCAATTTTGTCAAATTGTATGTTTAAAAGGTATGCAGTTCATTCTATGCCAATTATATTTTAATGGAGTCATTAAAAAATTCAGGCACAGAAACTGCAATCCAAAAATGAAAAGTCTAGACCAGCATGGTGTCTCCTAGAAAGTCCCCTATGTCCCCTGAGTCAGAGACAAGTTCAGCAGACAGTCACTAAGATAAGATTGCTTCTTCTACACTAAGCCAAAGGAGGAAAGAGGAAACACAACCAGAAGCGGATTAAAAAATCACCAGGCTTTTATGTCCAGACCTTTTTGAGAGGGGGATGTTGAGGCAAGGGAGAGGGAGAATGTCTGCATAAAGCAGAGACAGCTTGCCAGGTCCAGTGATGGGGACACTGACCCAGAGCTAGTCAGCCTAGTAAGCAGCCGATCAGGAGCGGGACAGGTAGTCCACTGTGCTCACCCCTTGTACAGCATTCTTGCTGTGTCTAAATCGCAAATTTTTAGAATAGGGGTAACTGCAGTGGCACTGGCTGTCCCCTTCAGTACATCTATGAAGTTGCATGCTCTCAACTTGAAGCTAAACCCAGTTCCCTCTGTTCAATGGAGCTGCAGCTCTCATAAACACTAGTGTGCTGGGAGTGGAACAGGGGAAATGGTGAGGTGCATTCCCAGAGCCAGGCAGCCTAGCAGTGATTCTAATGTGAGAAGTTATGACGGCAGCAATGTGCAAAGCACCTGGGCTTGTGACAGGTGTGCCACAGGCAAATCAGGGTGACTTCACGCTTCTAAGTCCTGATTACCTTGTGCTGCCACTAGGAGACCGGGCTGCCAGAGAGGTTATGCAGAAGGCTGTTGCTGAGGCGGCTGGCTCCCTCCCAAAGAGCTGCTTATTAAGGACCCCAGACTAGAACTGAGGGGTGGATCGAGTATAAAGAGTGTGACCAAAAAAACAAAACAAATCAAAA